ATCTCAAAAGAATCATCAAAATCCACATCACTTCTCTTAAATTATCACATTGTTATGTCTTTTTCTTTAAAAAATTCCCTCAAAAATCAAAGAGTTCTCATTCTTTTCTTTCTTTTCTCTTTCTTTTTCTCTTTCTTTTCACAAAAAAAAACCATCAGCTGACTCTCTATTGGACTCAGAAAGATCTCAATGAAATCTGAAGGGATTCTTTTGAGAAAAGTGAAAAGAAATTTTCCCAATCTCTTCGTTCAGCTTCTCCAATGTTCATTTCTGTTTCCCTTCTTTTTTTTTTTCACTTTTCTCAAATCTTTTCCCAGTTTTTCCTTGAGATTCGGATCGCTTTGAACTCAAAATACCCACATCCACTTCTTGCAACTTTTAGAACCTATAGTTAATTGATATCTGATTCAATTGTTGATTAGTACTGTTTAAGAGTTCATCTTCATTGTCCTTTTATTCACAGTACTCCGGGTTCCTTCGGTCAGGGTTTTTTTTTCAAAACTTTTCCAAGGTAAACCTGACCCTGGGAAGGCTTACAGTAATCAGGATTACTGTAGCTAAGGACCAATTTTATCTAGTACTTTATCAAGAATTCATTCTCATTCCCTTTCTACACTACTTTAGATTTATTAGGGTTGTTTCAAAAGTAGTTTACTTCTGAATAAGAATCATGGCAGGTCTAGCCTCTAGATTAAACCAGAGCTTGGTTCTGGTTTACTGTAGCCTGGATCTTGGCTTACTGTAGCCTAGATCTAGGCTTATTGTAGCCTGGATCTAGGCTTACTATAGCCTGGATCTAGGGCTACTTACTGCCCTAGCGGGCTTGAATCTTAGATTCTTAAAGAATCTCATTGGACAGCCAATGCCTCTTTAGTCCTTCATAACTGTACTTTGTGCTCAATTAACATCCCTTTCTAGTGCATTGAATTCTTCATTTTTTCTCATGGAAACGCTACAACACCATTAAGCTTTAAGTAAGCCAGAAGTGATGCCTTTCCACGAGCACAAAGTACACCTCAAGCACAAAATCGTTTCTAACAACTTTTCAATTTTAAATTGGGATTAGAAAACTGACACTAATCTTTAAAAAAAAAAGAAACCAAGCTGACCAACTGAGCTTTATTTACCAAGGAAATGGATTGAATTTTGGGGAAAATTATGAGATGACCTGGGAAAAGTTTCAGAAAAGAGAAAAGATTCACGTGTACAAATAGACTTTTCTCTTTTTTCTCTTTTTTCTTTTGCTTTTCCTCTAATTGAATCGGCAAATTCAACCAAATCACCCAAATAGAACACTGAATTTTTAAAGAAAATGAGAATTTAGGGATTGCACTTGATTTTGATTTTGGAGAAAAAAGAATTGTATAAAAATTTGACCTTTGCTGGAATCCGAACATGTTTGAATAAGCTCTATGCTTTGAGCTTTGCAAGCTGAGAACTTTTTACAGATTGCAGGCTCTAGAGAACATTACAAACTTTCGAATGATATAAAATAGAGGTGGAATCGATTAGCCAGTCTCAAGAAGCTAGAAGCTCAAAGCTAAACTCAAGAAGCAGTTTAGCTGCTTTACAACCGAGGTTTAACAGGATGTAAAGCAGCTAAACTGCTTCTTGAGTTTAGCTTTCTTGAGCTTCTAGCTTCTTGAGACTGGCTAATCGATTCAACCTCTATTTTATATCATTCGAAATGTAGAATTTGTCGAAATTTATAACGAATATTAAGGAGAAAAATTGATCTAAAGCTATGCATTTTATCCTAAATTTTGCTTTTTTTTTATCTTAATTAACTTAAACTATTAAATAATTTAAATTAAATTAATATATTAAATAAATTAAAATGAAAACCATTTATTAAACCATAAATTAAAATAAGTACAGTCGAACCTCTCTATAACGAACCTCGATATAACGTAAACCTCTCTATAACGTAAGGCGTCCGGTCCCCCACTTCTTTAAAACGGCACTCTATAACGTAACCCTTATCGTAAGCTATAGCCGTCCCGTGAGTTACGTTTTAGAGAGGTTCGCCTGTACAACGATTTCCACCTACACATTTCTCTCCCAATTCAATCTCATTTCAGATCTGATCACGTCTTTCTTTATTTACCCATGAAAATCTGTCTTCTTTCCTCTTTTTCTCTCTTTAATCATTTCGATATTTGATTCATTTCAGAGATTTTCGTCTGTGTCAAGTGAAAAAGTGAGTTTCGTTCACCAGATACTCTTTTTTTCTGAAAAGCACTCAGAGTTTTGAACCCAGACAAATCTCGGAAATCATTTGGCCCATTATTGATCGATTATTCGATTGAGGAACCAGTAGATGGTTGAGAAATGACTAAGAAAGCAGCACATGGTAAAGATATAGGCAAGAATGCTTCCAGTTTAGGCCAGGGTTCAAGCCTTTCAGTACCCCAGGCCTATACATGTCTACACTATGTCTATACAGCTAGGAAACACTATGTCTATACAGCTAAAGCCAAAGTCGAACGAGTGTTGGCTTTTTGGTAACAACGAGGCTAACCAATACACGAAGGGGCACTTTCTAACGAAAACCTTTTGTTTTCGGTTCTTAAGTATCAAACCAGCTAAGCTACAAGTTAACTTTTAATCTGGCTCTAGTCTTCAGCTAGGCTAAAACCAGGCTAAAACCAGGCCAAAACCAGGCCAAAACCAGACAGAATCTGACTCTTGTCTTTAGCTTGATTCGCAAAAGCTTCCTGGACCTGGCTTCTGATCCAGTTTAAGCTAAAATATTTCTGAATAATAGTACAGTAAACCATCAGTGTACAGTACATATTATACACAGTATTAAGATTTGACAAGTCGATTCTAGAGCCCAGAGAAGCGTAAGCACTCTTTATTCAAATTTTCAACCATTAAATCGAAATTTTTCAATGACTCTCCATTTCTATTATACTTCGTTAATCTTTTTTGAACAAATCACCTTTTTTCCCGAGAATAGAACAGTTGACAGCAGTCACAAGCGACAAAAAAGCAGATCATTTTGTGTTCTTCAGTAAAAAATTCCGTTCAGTGTAATACGAAGGGTGATACTATGTTTGTGTCAAATGTGAGGGAGGTTTTTTTTGCTTTTTTCGCTTTTCTTGAGTTCCATGGAACGCCTGTTCATTTCCTTTCCCACTTCACCCCAAAAAGTTTCTTCTGAACCTCATCTTTTGTCTTTTTTTTTCGATCTCTTTCTCATGTACTCCTATTAATCTCTCAAAATGACGTTCCATATAAATTTTGAGACTTTCGATTCTCATGGCTTTTTGAAGGTCCAGCTTTTAGTTCTTGACCCGTTAGAGTCTGGGTTTTTTTCCAAAAAGATTCGCTCGATCACCTTTCGATTGCAAATGTAAATGCAAATGCAAAAAATGCTCGCGCATTGCTGGATAGTTTAACATCGTTTTGATTTCCCAAGAGAACCGAACTTTCCGAGAACTTCCAATGCTCTCGGTATTACTCTCGATCCAACCGTCTGTTCTGATCATCCCAAAGTGGATGCAGCTTGTGATCCTCTTCAAGTTTCAAGTTCGATCTTTTTTAAGTCAATTTTGTTTCACTTACAAACAGATTCGAGAGAGAAAACACGTGTTTTTCGTAGAAATTTCGTAAAAACCTCTACGATGAAATTGAGTGAATGAATTTCGTTGAAAATTTGACTATATACTAAACTTTTTGTGCTCTATCTTTTATCTATTGACACGAAGATCGGTTTTCTTAGAGCTAAAGGATCATTGCATCATCGAATCGTCGCTCTTGAACTTTTGAAATGAATATCTTTCTTTGGTTAAAAAAAAACACAAGTAATTTGCAATATAATAAAGAGAAAGTGAGCTTTAATCTGATCACAAATTCCCCATTTATCTTTGATTCATTGATGTTTTTTTCCTTTTATTTGAAAAGATCACGAGTTTCCCCTTCCTTTTCTCGATGAAACCTTGGCCCTTTTCCTCCTTTTTCTCCAATATCCCGTTTCTGATCTCCAAAGTATCAATCTTAATCACTTAATCAATAAATATCAATCAATAAATATCAATCAATAGATACCAATCAATAAATTACCTCATTCACTCCCATCTTACTCATACATTTTCTGAGTTTGTCTGAGCTTTTCAGAAAATTTATCAAATGCGATTCTAAAGCCCAATTCAAAATCTTCAGCGCAACTGATGCAATCAGCTTTAACCCAAAAAAAATATATTGTAAAAGTTTATTCTAACACCTTAAGCTAACTTCTAAAAATTCAACTCCTATGTAATCTCAACTTTAAACCCTTTTTCATCCCGTCATTGTTAAAGTTGTCACCTCTTTTTCCCCCATCCAGCTTTTCCATCGATGCAGAATCTGCAGAACCATTTTCTCAGTTCCGATCATCGATTATCCGTGTGGGTTGACTCTCCAAAAAAAAACAGCAAAAGCAAAGAAACTGAGTCACATTTCGAAACAGAGACCTCTCTTTTTTTCTAGAGCTTTTCCAAACCTTTCGATCATTTTCCCCTTTCAGCTGGGGTTCAAATTGTCAATCCATGCTCTTTTTTCTTCTCCATTTTCACCAGGCCATGTGTTTCAAAAATCACTCTTTTCCACTTTGAGATCTCGCTTTCTTCTTGAGAAAACTCATCACCGGAAGTGAACAAGAATGGGATAAGAATGGGATAAGAATGGGATAAGAATGGGATAAGAATGGGATAAGAATGGGATAAGAATGGAATAAGAATGGAATAAGAAACGATAAGAATACGATAAGATAATGGGATTCTATTCCAGTGAAAGCTGTGTTATAATCTCAATCTTTTAAACCCTTCCTAACAAAGGGATCTTGCAAAAGTGAAACTTATCTCTTGATTTTTTCATGAGTTTACCTTTGAAAAGAAAACTACATTCAACTATTCTCTTTTAGACGCACATTCCCGGGGAATTCTCGACCGAGACACTGACGGACGGATTTGAGGAAAACGAAAAGCAATCAAAGCGATTAGCCAATTAGCAATTAGATGGAGGAAGATCCCCATCAAGGGGGTAAGTTCAAGCTGAGGACTGACCTGATTTCAGGCTTGATTCTAGGTCTAGTCCTGCTCTGAGCAGACCAGACTTGACTTGACTCTGGATTCTGGACTGATTGAATCTCTAAAGCTAATCGCTTAAACAGGATCAATTCTTGGTCCCTGAATCACTCAGCCAGAAGTCAAGACAGTGTTCTGCCTAATTGTAACTGGACTTGCCTAGGAACTTAGTTCAGACCGGATCCATTACATTCCAGGGCTGGACCATGACTTGATCCTGGATCCTGTCTAGCCTAGTCTTTGGCTTGACTTCTTGATTTTGAATATCTTATCTCAAATTTCCCAAAATTTCAGCCTCAAAGGCCGTCTCGGAAATCGTCCGCTCGGAACGGGACGAGGCGTTTCCCCAATATGTCGAACATTTCAAGGGACAAGGCTCGAGTTCCCAAACGCGAAATGGTAAAGAGAAAGAGCTAATATCAGTACTATGGTGTTGATTCGTCTTGAACTGACCAAGCCAGGTCTAATGCTGATTCCCAGATTTAGATTTGGTTTATAAAAAGCTGATGTTCAATGGCAATATCAATTTCAACTTATAAATGGGAAAACTTTCTTAATATCTCATAATCTAATCAATCAAATCAATTAATCAATTAATCAACCCTTATTACCTCAAAAAACTAAACAGATTTGATCGACGAAATGGGGAGAAGCGAAATGTTTGTCGAGAGTTCCGAGAGTTCCATCCAACCCGGAGATTCATCACAAAACAAGCGTCTCAACGGTTTCTTTTCTTTCTTTCTCTATACTTTTTCAACAATTTTACTTTCATTTTCAAAAGTTAAATAACTTTTTAATAACAGCATTACTTTTTGAATGAAAACTGAATAACTTTTTAATTGACAACATTACTTTTTAATGAAAGCTGAATAACTTTTTAATTGACAACATTACTTCTCAATGACATTTTTGTACTCTAATATCCTTTTAAACTTTAGTTAATCCGTCGGAACAAGGATTCGCTGAAGAATTCGGTAAGGAATTTTAAATCAAAATAAGCTTTGATATATATTTCATGATCATTTTTTTCGCTCTTTTAGTTTCCGAATCAAAACGACCAAAATTCGAGATGATTGGCGAGTTGGGCGACTCGCTCTTGGTCAAAAGTCGGTTTAACGAAAATACACTAAAGCTAAATTGTTGTAAAAAGGGTACTGTAGAATTGGGAAGCACAGTAGGCAGGACTTTTTGTTGAAAAACTTAACTTTTAAAGCTTTTGCCTTTGACTTTTGATGTTGATTCACTGTTTGTAAAGGTAGAATCGGTAATCTTTTTGTTGTCTTGAGAATTGAGAACAAATTTGATTGCTAAAAGGCAAAAAGAAACTGTCTTACTCCGAAAAAGGACACTGTAGCGTGAATATCTTTTTTTCTTTCTCATTTTGAGACAAATAACAAGTCGAGTCGTTTTTTTTGAAAGGTACAGTAATCTTTGAAAAGCTTTGTCTGATTCTATTTTTTTTTTTTTTTTTTTTTTTTTTTTTTTTTTTTTTTTTTTTTTTTTTTTTTTTTTTTTTTTTTTTTTTTTTTTTTTTTTTTTTTTTTTTTTTTTTTTTTTTTTTTTTTTTTTTTTTTTTTTTTTTTTTTTTTTTTTTTTTTTTTTTAATATAAATTTAATTTTTTTTATATAAAAAATATTTATTTTTTTTTTTTTTTTTTTTTTTTTTTTTTTATTTTTTTTATTTTTTTTTTTTTTTTTTTTTTTTTTTTTTTTTTTTTTTTTTTTGTTTTTTTTTTTTTTTTTCTTTTTTTTTTAATAAAAAATTTTTTTCAAAACAACCCCACATTTTAAAAATAAAAAATTTTTAAAAAAAAAAAAAATAATTAAAAAAAAATTTTTTTTTTAAAAAAAAATTAAAAAAAATAAAAAAAAAAAAAAAAAAAAAAAAAAAAAAAAAAAAAAAAAAAAAAAAAAAAAAAAAAAAAAAAAAAAAATTAAAAAAAAAAAAAAAAAAAGGTAGGGTCAATCTGTAAATCTACAATAATCCAGTTTACAGTAATTACATTTGTTTCGTTACCGTAATTTACAGTAATCCTTTTCTTAGTGTAAAATTAGAAAAGCAAGAATTCTATGAGTTACCCCTTCAACTTCGACTTATCTTTATCTCAAGAAGGACACGAAGATTTCCTATTGGACAAAATGGAAATCGTTCGTGAGTCTAGAAGAAATTCTAGAAGTTCTAGAAATTCTACTCTAGAATTCTAGAGTCTAGAAGCTATTTCCCGCCATTTCTACAGTAATCTGCTTTCTATTCTTACAGACTTTGTTCTTTAAATCGGAATTGATGATGTAAATTGAAGGGTTTCTTCATTTTCAGACGAATCCATCTCGGGCAAGATGGATCGTCCATTCAAAGCGGATCTTCTCTTGGGTGACACATCCGCACAATTTGGTATGACGTTCAAAGAAATCTATATAATTATGCTAATTTTATTTATTTTATGAAATTACTTGAGAAATCTATGCTTTATTTCATAGAATTTCCTTAAATTTTCTTAAATTTAGTTGGTCTTTTGGGCGAAAGGACCGACTCGAAGGCAACTAGTGAGTTTTTAACTTTTTAACTATGCTTTTACTTTTAGCTAACTTAACTGAATACCTTAATCTAGACTGAATACCGTAATCCAGCTAATCTTACCTGAATGCTTTAATCCAGACTGAATACCCTAATCTAGACTGAATACCGTAATCCAGCTAATCTTACCTGAATGCCTTAATCTAGACCGAATACCCTAATCTAGACTGAATACCGTAATCCAGCTAATCTTACCTGAATACCCTAATCTAGACCGAATACCGTTAGCTGAACTTTTTAACCTTTTTAACTATGCTCAAAAGATTGCCGCCTCGAATGTGTTAAAAGATAAACTTTCAGCTGCATATGTTAATCATAATAATAATAATAATAATAATAATAATAATATAAAATGTTTTGAAATTTGAATTCAATTTTTTTTTAGCTTCAAACCCAGCTTCGAGTTTTACCTCATTTTCCGATTTTGAAGGCATCGTGGGCGACGGTGAGACTATTTTGCGCTAGTTACAGTAAACCAATAAAGCTTTATTCGATTAAAAACTGGAATTTCGATATTTTCAAGATAACTTCAAAATACAGAAAGTTACATTCGAAATTGCGCAAATCTAGATTTCTATGAAAAGTTAGAGGCAAAATTTGAGCTAAACTTACAATATTGGAATCGAATTCAAACGTTACACTAAACATTCAAATGTTACACAAATTCAATCCAAAGTAATCTATTAAAGTATCCAGCTAATGATAACTTCCATTGAAAGGGGTAATTTTCATTGAAATTCATTTGAAAACTCGATTCTCCAGGTGCCTCTCAAATCAGCCACTTCGAATCAGCCACTTCGACTTGGGTTCGACAACAGGAGAACGCATTGGGCGATGCGTTTTCTGGTTGGTTCTTTCAATTTTAAGCAAACTTTATTATGTTATCTCTTAAGCTTTGGCTTTTAATAAATCTAATCATTTAATGTAAAATTGTACAATAAGACAAGCTTTCCTCAACTTTTCAATTTTCATTTTTTCAGCTAATCCCAAAAACGAAGAGGCAACGATTGGAACTTATGGTAAGAAGGAAAAAAAATGTCGTGTAGTCTCAATTTTCTTCTAGAAACTGACCCGTTCAATACTCCTGGGCGCCGGGTCACTGAGGTCACGTTAAACATCTTTTTGTCACGCGGAGGGAAAAATTATGCCGGTTAGTGGATAGATAACACAGATATTGGTCCGGAAATTTTAATTAGACTAACTTGAATTGACTTTGTCAAGTTAGTGCCAAATAGAAAGCATGTGGAATATTTGTGGTTTGTTCTCAGTAAGCCATTTTCTTTTTTTTGCATTAATTTGAGCGGTAAACAAGTCTAGGATTATCTTATCGATGGACACTTATCGACTTTACTTTCGCATCATCATATTATAAAGGCGTTCAATGTGCTTTGGGAATGGACCGTACTCGCGCGTAGTCGAATCACTCTAGTCAGACTATAAACCACTGTAACTTGCTTTAGCATTGATATTTTTAGCTGTATTTTAGCCCATTCAAAAGCTCTTGAGATTCTCTATTTTTTGAGCTATAAATCATATCAATCCGACAGATTTGAAGCAAGTTAGAAGTGTTTGTCGTTTACGTTTGTAGTTTGTAGTGTCCATGTCTAACTGATAATCTGTAAATTATTCTTTTTATTCAGTTGGCCCATCGACGATGGACGACGATTGGGAGCAAGACCGTTACTCAGAGTCGGATGCGTGGAAGTCGAGTAGTGAGGTAAAAAAGAAATTAAATTGATTTAAGCAAGATCTCATTTGAAAACCTTTCAATTTTATTTCTTAAATCCATTATATCCATTATATTTTCATTCATTCATTTGTCTTTTTGCAGCCGAAACGAGAAATCGCTAAGCCGAGCCCAGAATACGTGGGTTACAAAAGAAAGAAAACGCTCATCTTTGCCAAATCCCGCTATCTTTAGCTAAAATTTTGACCCATTTATTGTAAAGTACGTTCCTCTCATCTAATCTGTTTTCTAAAAGACACCTAGACAAACTACCGTCATTTCACCACTAGTTTTCATTCAAGCAGCCCAACTTTGGTATCATTAACTGAGCCTTGTGATGCCTCATCGAATGTAACCAAAATTTGGCTGATCAAATGAAAACTGGCGGCTTGATTAAGGTAGTTTCTCTCTGCTGTTCTGTATATTATCCAAAAAAAGCTATTAGCACAGCTCCAAATTGAATCAAAACCGTAACCAATCTTGAGTATCTTCTAGAAAAGCGTTAGAAGAGGAATGCATTCAAATCATAATCTTTAAAATATAGCCAAACTGATACCGTATTGCTTGAATAAGATCGACAGTTACAATTCCAACTAAATTTTAATAGCGCTTAAAAAGTTGTCCTTTTATGCAAACCCTGTGTGCTATTGTCTAAAAAAGCTATTAGTAGAGCTTCAAAATGAAAAAAATCGTAGCCAATCTTGAGAAATGTAAATTTTACAGGTCCAAGCCTTCTCCGACTCGGAAGACGACGATGAGGAGAGATCGCTCTCGATGGAGGTAAGAAGATTCTTTGAATCTTGTGGAAAAATAAAGACAAGATCGGAGAAAGTGAACGTTTTAGAAAACGGACCAGTAAGTCGAAAAACTAGAATTCCAGTGTGCCAGAAGGCACGCGTTTATCCGAGCTTAAAGTAGAGGCCGAGTTTTTCCTTTTCAGGTCATTGGCAGGGAAACGATCGAAGCTTTGGAGGTCTCTGAAGACGAAAAAGCAGCAACTCCGACAAAGGTTTGGTAAAATTTTCAACAATCAAGCTTTCGTTCAGGAATGCGGCTTTGAGGCAGCTGTCGCCGAGAAAGCGATTCGTGAAATCGGTGAGAAAAAATCTTGTCTTCATATTCAAGATATTCTAGAACCCCTTCAAATCATCACTGATCGGGAAATGCTTCAAGAATCCGGGATCTCGATGCAAACCGCGAACTCTGGTGGGCTCATAGCTTGCTTACAACAGTCAACTGATCAATGGGAAATTGGCCAACTGGGGGCCGAGCCCTGACACTTAGCTCGGTCATCTCCGGACCTGTGTGCTAGTTGGGGGTTTTTTGACTTCAGATTTAAAATCAGCGTAGTCGAAAGCCTCCGGCCAAAAGCTTTCCACCCATCAAACCCATTTAGAGCTCAAATGTCAGTTTAGAAAACCCCTCAACTGTGGCCTCTTCGGCTAACTCCGAAGGTGGTTGGGAGCTCATCCAGGACAATATGACGGCCAGTGTGCACTCGGATGAAACAAGCAGCCAGCCAAGCTTCGTCCACTCTGAAGTAAGCTTTTCATTGAAAATCAGAACTGTTCAAATTCCAGGTTTGGGATGATCCAGCCACCATTGCTGAAGAACAAGCCGCGCTAACTGACCTCTTATTGATGGCAAAAAGTGATCCGCTTTTTGACTCCGAGAAAACAACACCGGGTGATGTGGCCGGTTTGGGGGAGAATCTTGTCTTATCAAGGGATAAGGATTTTCATCGATCAAACGAAAGTGTCGAGACACTTGAAGATAACAATGACATCCATGATGCTTTGACCGAGACAGACGAGAGTCGATATGCTGAACTGCTAAAGACCCCAACGAAGAATCAAGAGCAATCGTTCTTGTTCGAAACTGCAAACGGACTCGCGAAAGAATCTGAGATCCAGAAGACGTTAGAAAGGCAAAGCAAAAATGCCCCAGTCTCCGATAACGCTGCTCCAGTTCCCGAAGAGACTGTCTTCGCGCAAGTGATTGCTGCCGTCGAACAAGTTCTCGAGCAACAACAAGAAGTTGTGTCCGAAGAGAAACCAGCCGAAGAAGTGCCAGCTGTGGTTGAAGAGATTGCTCCGATCACCGAAGAGAAGCCAGCTGAGGAACCAGTTGCTGATGAGGCTGCTCCAGTCTCTGAAGAGGCTGCTCCAGTTGCTGAAGAGACCGTCCTCGAGCAAGTGATTGCTGCCGTCGAACAAGTTCTCGAGCAACAACAAGAAGTTGTGTCCGAAGAGAAACCAGCCGAAGAAGTGCCAGCTGTGGTGGAAGAGATTGCTCCGATCACCGAAGAGAAGCCAGCTGAGGAACCAGTTGCTGATGAGGCTGCTCCAGTTGCTGAAGAGACTGTCCTCGAGCAAGTGATTGCTGCCGTCGAACAAGTTCTCGAGCAACAACAAGAAGTTGTGTCCGAAGAGAAACCAGCCGAAGAAGTGCCAGCTGTGGTTGAAGAGATTGCTCCGATCACCGAAGAGAAGCCAGCTGAGGAACCAGTTGCTGATGAGGCTGCTCCAGTTGCTGAAGAGACTGTCCTCGAGCAAGTGATTGCCGCAGTCGAACAAGTTCTCGAGCAACAACAAGAAGTTGTGTCCGAAGAGAAACCAGCCGAAGAAGTGCCAGCTGTGGTTGAAGAGATTGCTCCGATCACCGAAGAGAAGCCAGCTGAGGAACCAGTTGCTGATGAGGCTGCTCCAGTTGCTGAAGAGACTGTCCTCGAGCAAGTGATTGCCGCGGTCGAACAAGTTCTCGAGCAACAACAAGAAGTTGTGTCCGAAGAGAAACCAGCCGAAGAAGTGCCAGCTGTGGTTGAAGAGATTGCTCCGATCACCGAAGAGAAGCCAGCTGAGGAACCAGTTGCTGAAGAGACTGTCCTCGAGCAAGTGATTGCTGCCGTCGAACAAGTTCTCGAGCAACAACAAGAAGTTGTGTCCGAAGAGAAACCAGCCGAAGAAGTGCCAGCTGTGGTTGAAGAGATTGCTCCGATCACCGAAGAGAAGCCAGCTGAGGAACCAGTTGCTGATGAGGCTGCTCCAGTCCTGAAGAGCAGTTGCTGAAGAGACTGTCCTCGAGCAAGTGATTGCTGCCGTCGAACAAGTTCTCGAGCAACAACAAGAAGTTGTGTCCGAAGAGAAACCAGCCGAAGAAGTGCCAGCTGTGGTTGAAGAGATTGCTCCGATCACCGAAGAGAAGCCAGCTGAGGAACCAGTTGCTGATGAGGCTGCTCCAGTCTCTGAAGAGGCTGCTCCAGTTGCTGAAGAGACTGTCCTCGAGCAAGTGATTGCTGCCGTCGAACAAGTTCTCGAGCAACAACAAGAAGTTGTGTCCGAAGAGAAACCAGCCGAAGAAGTGCCAGCTGTGGTTGAAGAGATTGCTCCGATCACCGAAGAGAAGCCAGCTGAGGAACCAGTTGCTGATGAGGCTGCTCCAGTCGCTGAAGAGGCTGCTCCAGTTGCTGAAGAGACTGTCCTCGAGCAAGTGATTGCTGCCGTCGAACAAGTTCTCGAGCAACAACAAGAAGTTGTGTCCGAAGAGAAACCAGCCGAAGAAGTGCCAGCTGTGGTTGAAGAGATTGCTCCGATCACCGAAGAGAAGCCAGCTGAGGAACCAGTTGCTGATGAGGCTGCTCCAGTTGCTGAAGAGAACTGTCCTCGAGCAAGTGATTGCCGCGGTCGAACAAGTTCTCGAGCAACAACAAGAAGTTGTGTCCGAAGAGAAACCAGCCGAAGAAGTGCCAGCTGTGGTGGAAGAGATTGCTCCGATCACCGAAGAGAAGCCAGCTGAGGAACCAGTTGCTGATGAGGCTGCTCCAGTCTCAGACCTGCTGAAGAGACTGTCCTCGAGCAAGTGATTGCTGCCGTCGAACAAGTTCTCGAGCAACAACAAGAAGTTGTGTCCGAAGAGAAACCAGCCGAAGAAGTGCCAGCTGTGGTGGAAGAGATTGCTCCGATCACCGAAGAGAAGCCAGCTGAGGAACCAGTTGCTGATGAGGCTGCTCCAGTTGCTGAAGAGACTGTCCTCGAGCAAGTGATTGCTGCCGTCGAACAAGTTCTCGAGCAACAACAAGAAGTTGTGTCCGAAGAGAAACCAGCCGAAGAAGTGCCAGCTGTGGTTGAAGAGATTGCTCCGATCACCGAAGAGAAGCCAGCTGAGGAACCAGTTGCTGATGAGGCTGCTCCAGTCTCTGAAGAGGCTGCTCCAGTTGCTGAAGAGACTGTCCTCGAGCAAGTGATTGCCGCAGTCGAACAAGTTCTCGAGCAACAACAAGAAGTTGTGTCCGAAGAGAAACCAGCCGAAGAAGTGCCAGCTGTGGTTGAAGAGATTGCTCCGATCACCGAAGAGAAGCCAGCTGAGGAACCAGTTGCTGATGAGGCTGCTCCAGTTGCTGAAGAGACTGTCCTCGAGCAAGTGATTGCCGCGGTCGAACAAGTTCTCGAGCAACAACAAGAAGTTGTGTCCGAAGAGAAACCAGCCGAAGAAGTGCCAGCTGTGGTTGAAGAGATTGCTCCGATCACCGAAGAGAAGCCAGCTGAGGAACCAGTTGCTGATGAGGCTGCTCCAGTCGCTGAAGAGGCTGCTCCAGTTGCTGAAGAGACTGTCCTCGAGCAAGTGATTGCCGCGGTCGAACAAGTTCTCGAGCAACAACAAGAAGTTGTGTCCGAAGAGAAACCAGCCGAAGAAGTGCCAGCTGTGGTGGAAGAGATTGCTCCGATCACCGAAGAGAAGCCAGCTGAGGAACCAGTTGCTGATGAGGCTGCTCCAGTTGCTGAAGAGACTGTCCTCGAGCAAGTGATTGCTGCCGTCGAACAAGTTCTCGAGCAACAACAAGAAGTTGTGTCCGAAGAGAAACCAGCCGAAGAAGTGCCAGCTGTGGTGGAAGAGATTGCTCCGATCACCGAAGAGAAGCCAGCTGAGGAACCAGTTGCTGATGAGGCTGCTCCAGTTGCTGAAGAGACTGTCCTCGAGCAAGTGATTGCTGCCGTCGAACAAGTTCTCGAGCAACAACAAGAAGTTGTGTCCGAAGAGAAACCAGCCGAAGAAGTGCCAGCTGTGGTTGAAGAGATTGCTCCGATCACCGAAGAGAAGCCAGCTGAGGAACCAGTTGCTGATGAGGCTGCTCCAGTTGCTGAAGAGACTGTCCTCGAGCAAGTGATTGCCGCAGTCGAACAAGTTCTCGAGCAACAACAAGAAGTTGTGTCCGAAGAGAAACCAGCCGAAGAAGTGCCAGCTGTGGTTGAAGAGATTGCTCCGATCACCGAAGAGAAGCCAGCTGAGGAACCAGTTGCTGATGAGGCTGCCTCTGAAGAGTGTCCAGTTGCTGAAGAGACTGTCCTCGAGCAAGTGATTGCCGCCGTCGAACAAGTTCTCGAGCAACAACAAGAAGTTGTGTCCGAAGAGAAACCAGCCGAAGAAGTGCCAGCTGTGGTTGAAGAGATTGCTCCGATCACCGAAGAGAAGCCAGCTGAGGAACCAGTTGCTGATGAGGCTGCTCCAGTTGCTGAAGAGACTGTCCTCGAGCAAGTGATTGCTGCCGTCGAACAAGTTCTCGAGCAACAACAAGAAGTTGTGTCCGAAGAGAAACCAGCCGAAGAAGTGCCAGCTGTGGTTGAAGAGATTGCTCCGATCACCGAAGAGAAGCCAGCTGAGGAACCAGTTGCTGATGAGGCTGCTCCAGTTGCTGAAGAGACTGTCCTCGAGCAAGTGATTGCTGCCGTCGAACAAGTTCTCGAGCAACAACAAGAAGTTGTGTCCGAAGAGAAACCAGCCGAAGAAGTGCCAGCTGTGGTTGAAGAGATTGCTCCGATCACCGAAGAGAAGCCAGCTGAGGAACCAGTTGCTGATGAGGCTGCTCCAGTCTCTGAGGGGGCTCCCCAGCTGCTGAAGAGACTGTCCTCGAGCAAGTGATTGCCGCAGTCGAACAAGTTCTCGAGCAACAACAAGAAGTTGTGTCCGAAGAGAAACCAGCCGAAGAAGTGCCAGCTGTGGTTGAAGAGATTGCTCCGATCACCGAAGAGAAGCCAGCTGAGGAACCAGTTGCTGATGAGGCTGCTCCAGTTGCTGAAGAGACTGTCCTCGAGCAAGTGATTGCTGCCGTCGAACAAGTTCTCGAGCAACAACAAGAAGTTGTGTCCGAAGAGAAACCAGCCGAAGAAGTGCCAGCTGTGGTTGAAGAGATTGCTCCGATCACCGAAGAGAAGCCAGCTGAGGAACCAGTTGCTGAAGAGACTGTCCTCGAGCAAGTGATTGCTGCCGTCGAACAAGTTCTCGAGCAACAACAAGAAGTTGTGTCCGAAGAGAAACCAGCCGAAGAAGTGCCAGCTGTGGTTGAAGAGATTGCTCCGATCACCGAAGAGAAGCCAGCTGAGGAACCAGTTGCTGATGAGGCTGCTCCAGTTGCTGAAGAGACTGTCCTCGAGCAAGTGATTGCTGCCGTCGAACAAGTTCTCGAGCAACAACAAGAAGTTGTGTCCGAAGAGAAACCAGCCGAAGAAGTGCCAGCTGTGGTTGAAGAGATTGCTCCGATCACCGAAGAGAAGCCAGCTGAGGAACCAGTTGCTGATGAGGCTGCTCCAGTTGCTGAAGAGACTGTCCTCGAGCAAGTGATTGCCGCCGTCGAACAAGTTCTCGAGCAACAACAAGAAGTTGTGTCCGAAGAGAAACCAGCCGAAGAAGTGCCAGCTGTGGTTGAAGAGATTGCTCCGATCACCGAAGAGAAGCCAGCTGAGGAACCAGTTGCTGATGAGGCTGCTCCTGGGCTGCCAGTTGCTGAAGAGACTGTCCTCGAGCAAGTGATTGCTGCCGTCGAACAAGTTCTCGAGCAACAACAAGAAGTTGTGTCCGAAGAGAAACCAGCCGAAGAAGTGCCAGCTGTGGTTGAAGAGATTGCTCCGATCACCGAAGAGAAGCCAGCTGAGGAACCAGTTGCTGATGAGGCCGCTCCAGTCTCTGAAGAGGCTGCTCCAGTTGCTGAAGAGACTGTCCTCGAGCAAGTGATTGCCGCAGTCGAACAAGTTCTCGAGCAACAACAAGAAGTTGTGTCCGAAGAGAAACCAGCCGAAGAAGTGCCAGCTGTGGTTGAAGAGATTGCTCCGATCACCGAAGAGAAGCCAGCTGAGGAACCAGTTGCTGATGAGGCTGCTCCAGTTGCTGAAGAGACTGTCCTCGAGCAAGTGATTGCCGCAGTCGAACAAGTTCTCGAGCAACAACAAGAAGTTGTGTCCGAAGAGAAACCAGCCGAAGAAGTGCCAGCTGTGGTTGAAGAGATTGCTCCGATCACCGAAGAGAAGCCAGCTGAGGAACCAGTTGCTGATGAGGCTGCTCCAGTCTCTGAAGAGGCTGCTCCAGTTGCTGAAGAGACTGTCCTCGAGCAAGTGATTGCCGCCGTCGAACAAGTTCTCGAGCAACAACAAGAAGTTGTGTCCGAAGAGAAACCAGCCGAAGAAGTGCCAGCTGTGGTTGAAGAGATTGCTCCGATCACCGAAGAGAAGCCAGCTGAGGAACCAGTTGCTGATGAGGCTGCTCCAGTTGCTGAAGAGACTGTCCTCGAGCAAGTGATTGCTGCCGTCGAACAAGTTCTCGAGCAACAACAAGAAGTTGTGTCCGAAGAGAAACCAGCCGAAGAAGTGCCAGCTGTGGTTGAAGAGATTGCTCCGATCACCGAAGAGAAGCCAGCTGAGGAACCAGTTGCTGATGAGGCTGCTCCAGTCTCTGAAGAGGCTGCTCCAGTTGCTGAAGAGACTGTCCTCGAGCAAGTGATTGCTGCCGTCGAACAAGTTCTCGAGCAACAACAAGAAGTTGTGTCCGAAGAGAAACCAGCCGAAGAAGTGCCAGCTGTGGTTGAAGAGATTGCTCCGATCACCGAAGAGAAGCCAGCTGAGGAACCAGTTGCTGATGAGGCTGCTCCAGTTGCTGAAGAGACTGTCCTCGAGCAAGTGATTGCTGCCGTCGAACAAGTTCTCGAGCAACAACAAGAAGTTGTGTCCGAAGAGAAACCAGCCGAAGAAGTGCCAGCTGTGGTTGAAGAGATTGCTCCGATCACCGAAGAGAAGCCAGCTGAGGAACCAGTTGCTGATGAGGCTGCTCCAGTCCTCCTGCTGAAGAGACTGTCCTCGAGCAAGTGATTGCCGCAGTCGAACAAGTTCTCGAGCAACAACAAGAAGTTGTGTCCGAAGAGAAACCAGCCGAAGAAGTGCCAGCTGTGGTGGAAGAGATTGCTCCGATCACCGAAGAGAAGCCAGCTGAGGAACCAGTTGCTGATGAGGCTGCTCCAGTTGCTGAAGAGACTGTCCTCGAGCAAGTGATTGCCGCCGTCGAACAAGTTCTCGAGCAACAACAAGAAGTTGTGTCCGAAGAGAAACCAGCCGAAGAAGTGCCAGCTGTGGTGGAAGAGATTGCTCCGATCACCGAAGAGAAGCCAGCTGAGGAACCAGTTGCTGATGAGGCTGCTCCAGTTGCTGAAGAGACTGTCCTCGAGCAAGTGATTGCTGCCGTCGAACAAGTTCTCGAGCAACAACAAGAAGTTGTGTCCGAAGAGAAACCAGCCGAAGAAGTGCCAGCTGTGGTGGAAGAGATTGCTCCGATCACCGAAGAGAAGCCAGCTGAGGAACCAGTTGCTGATGAGGCTGCTCCAGTCTCTGAAGAGGCGCCCCGTTGCTGAAGAGACTGTCCTCGAGCAAGTGATTGCTGCCGTCGAACAAGTTCTCGAGCAACAACAAGAAGTTGTGTCCGAAGAGAAACCAGCCGAAGAAGTGCCAGCTGTGGTTGAAGAGATTGCTCCGATCACCGAAGAGAAGCCAGCTGAGGAACCAGTTGCTGATGAGGCTGCTCCAGTTGCTGAAGAGACTGTCCTCGAGCAAGTGATTGCCGCCGTCGAACAAGTTCTCGAGCAACAACAAGAAGTTGTGTCCGAGGAGAAACCAGCCGAAGAAGTGCCAGCTGTGGTTGAAGAGATTGCTCCGATCACCGAAGAGAAGCCAGCTGAGGAACCAGTTGCTGATGAGGCTGCTCCAGTTGCTGAAGAGACTGTCCTCGAGCAAGTGATTGCCGCGGTCGAACAAGTTCTCGAGCAACAACAAGAAGTTGTGTCCGAAGAGAAACCAGCCGAAGAAGTGCCAGCTGTGGTTGAAGAGATTGCTCCGATCACCGAAGAGAAGCCAGCTGAGGAACCAGTTGCTGATGAGGCTGCTCCAGTTGCTGAAGAGACTGTCCTCGAGCAAGTGATTGCCGCGGTCGAACAAGTTCTCGAGCAACAACAAGAAGTTGTGTCCGAAGAGAAACCAGCCGAAGAAGTGCCAGCTGTGGTTGAAGAGATTGCTCCGATCACCGAAGAGAAGCCAGCTGAGGAACCAGTTGCTGATGAGGCTGCTCCAGTTGCTGAAGAGACTGTCCTCGAGCAAGTGATTGCCGCAGTCGAACAAGTTCTCGAGCAACAACAAGAAGTTGTGTCCGAGGAGAAACCAGCCGAAGAAGTGCCAGCTGTGGTTGAAGAGATTGCTCCGATCACCGAAGAGAAGCCAGCTGAGGAACCAGTTGCTGATGAGGCTGCTCCAGTCTCTGAAGAGGCTGCTCCAGTTGCTGAAGAGACTGTCCTCGAGCAAGTGATTGCCGCAGTCGAACAAGTTCTCGAGCAACAACAAGAAGTTGTGTCCGAGGAGAAACCAGCCGAAGAAGTGCCAGCTGTGGTGGAAGAGATTGCTCCGATCACCGAAGAGAAGCCAGCTGAGGAACCAGTTGCTGATGAGGCTGCTCCAGTTGCTGAAGAGACTGTCCTCGAGCAAGTGATTGCTGCCGTCGAACAAGTTCTCGAGCAACAACAAGAAGTTGTGTCCGAGGAGAAACCAGCCGAAGAAGTGCCAGCTGTGGTTGAAGAGATTGCTCCGATCACCGAAGAGAAGCCAGCTGAGGAACCAGTTGCTGATGAGGCTGCTCCAGTTGCTGAAGAGACTGTCCTCGAGCAAGTGATTGCTGCCGTCGAACAAGTTCTCGAGCAACAACAAGAAGTTGTGTCCGAGGAGAAACCAGCCGAAGAAGTGCCAGCTGTGGTTGAAGAGATTGCTCCGATCACCGAAGAGAAGCCAGCTGAGGAACCAGTTGCTGATGAGGCTGCTCCAGTTGCTGAAGAGACTGTCCTCGAGCAAGTGATTGCCACAGTCGAACAAGTTCTCGAGCAACAACAAGAAGTTGTGTCCGAAGAGAAACCAGCCGAAGAAGTGCCAGCTGTGGTTGAAGAGATTGCTCCGATCACCGAAGAGAAGCCAGCTGAGGAACCAGTTGCTGATGAGGCTGCTCCAGCTGCTGAAGAGACTGTCCTCGAGCAAGTGATTGCTGCGGTCGAACAAGTTCTCGAGCAACAACAAGAAGTTGTGTCCGAAGAGAAACCAGCCGAAGAAGTGCCAGCTGTGGTTGAAGAGATTGCTCCGATCACCGAAGAGAAGCCAGCTGAGGAACCAGTTGCTGATGAGGCTGCTCCAGTTGCTGAAGAGACTGTCCTCGAGCAAGTGATTGCCGCGGTCGAACAAGTTCTCGAGCAACAACAAGAAGTTGTGTCCGAAGAGAAACCAGCCGAAGAAGTGCCAGCTGTGGTTGAAGAGATTGCTCCGATCACCGAAGAGAAGCCAGCTGAGGAACCAGTTGCTGATGAGGCTGCTCCAGTTGCTGAAGAGACTGTCCTCGAGCAAGTGATTGCCGCGGTCGAACAAGTTCTCGAGCAACAACAAGAAGTTGTGTCCGAGGAGAAACCAGCCGAAGAAGTGCCAGCTGTGGTTGAAGAGATTGCTCCGATCACCGAAGAGAAGCCAGCTGAGGAACCAGTTGCTGATGAGGCTGCTCCAGTTGCTGAAGAGACTGTCCTCGAGCAAGTGATTGCCGCCGTCGAACAAGTTCTCGAGCAACAACAAGAAGTTGTGTCCGAGGAGAAACCAGCCGAAGAAGTGCCAGCTGTGGTTGAAGAGATTGCTCCGATCACCGAAGAGAAGCCAGCTGAGGAACCAGTTGCTGATGAGGCTGCTCCAGTTGCTGAAGAGACTGTCCTCGAGCAAGTGATTGCCGCGGTCGAACAAGTTCTCGAGCAACAACAAGAAGTTGTGTCCGAGGAGAAACCAGCCGAAGAAGTGCCAGCTGTGGTTGAAGAGATTGCTCCGATCACCGAAGAGAAGCCAGCTGAGGAACCAGTTGCTGATGAGGCTGCTCCAGTTGCTGAAGAGACTGTCCTCGAGCAAGTGATTGCCGCGGTCGAACAAGTTCTCGAGCAACAACAAGAAGTTGTGTCCGAGGAGAAACCAGCCGAAGAAGTGCCAGCTGTGGTTGAAGAGATTGCTCCGATCACCGAAGAGAAGCCAGCTGAGGAACCAGTTGCTGATGAGGCTGCTCCAGCTGCTGAAGAGACTGTCCTCGAGCAAGTGATTGCCGCGGTCGAACAAGTTCTCGAGCAACAACAAGAAGTTGTGTCCGAGGAGAAACCAGCCGAAGAAGTGCCAGCTGTGGTTGAAGAGATTGCTCCGATCACCGAAGAGAAGCCAGCTGAGGAACCAGTTGCTGATGAGGCTGCTCCAGTTGCTGAAGAGACTGTCCTCGAGCAAGTGATTGCCGCGGTCGAACAAGTTCTCGAGCAACAACAAGAAGTTGTGTCCGAGGAGAAACCAGCCGAAGAAGTGCCAGCTGTGGTTGAAGAGATTGCTCCGATCACCGAAGAGAAGCCAGCTGAGGAACCAGTTGCTGATGAGGCTGCTCCAGTTGCTGAAGAGACTGTCCTCGAGCAAGTGATTGCCGCGGTCGAACAAGTTCTCGAGCAACAACAAGAAGTTGTGTCCGAGGAGAAACCAGCCGAAGAAGTGCCAGCTGTGGTTGAAGAGATTGCTCCGATCACCGAAGAGGAGCCAGCTGAGGAACCAGTTGCTGATGAGGCTGCTCCAGTCTCTGAAGAGGCTGCTCCAGTTGCTGAAGAGACTGTCCTCGAGCAAGTGATTGCCGCGGTCGAACAAGTTCTCGAGCAACAACAAGAAGTTGTGTCCGAAGAGAAACCAGCCGAAGAAGTGCCAGCTGTGGTTGAAGAGATTGCTCCGATCACCGAAGAGAAGCCAGCTGAGGAACCAGTTGCTGATGAGGCTGCTCCAGTTGCTGAAGAGACTGTCCTCGAGCAAGTGATTGCCGCGGTCGAACAAGCTCTCGAGCAACAACAAGAAGTTGTGTCCGAGGAGAAACCAGCCGAAGAAGTGCCAGCTGTGGTTGAAGAGATTGCTCCGATCACCGAAGAGAAGCCAGCTGAGGAACCAGTTGCTGATGAGGCTGCTCCAGTCTCTGAAGAGGCCGCCCAGTTGCTGAAGAGACTGTCCTCGAGCAAGTGATTGCCGCGGTCGAACAAGTTCTCGAGCAACAACAAGAAGTTGTGTCCGAGGAGAAACCAGCCGAAGAAGTGCCAGCTGTGGTTGAAGAGATTGCTCCGATCACCGAAGAGAAGCCAGCTGAGGAACCAGTTGCTGATGAGGCTGCTCCAGTTGCTGAAGAGACTGTCCTCGAGCAAGTGATTGCTGCGGTCGAACAAGTTCTCGAGCAACAACAAGAAGTTGTGTCCGAGGAGAAACCAGCCGAAGAAGTGCCAGCTGTGGTTGAAGAGATTGCTCCGATCACCGAAGAGAAGCCAGCTGAGGAACCAGTTGCTGATGAGGCTGCTCCAGTTGCTGAAGAGACTGTCCTCGAGCAAGTGATTGCCGCGGTCGAACAAGCTCTCGAGCAACAACAAGAAGTTGTGTCCGAGGAGAAACCAGCCGAAGAAGTGCCAGCTGTGGTTGAAGAGATTGCTCCGATCACCGAAGAGAAGCCAGCTGAGGAACCAGTTGCTGATGAGGCTGCTCCAGTCTCTGAAGAGGCTGCTCCAGTTGCTGAAGAGACTGTCCTCGAGCAAGTGATTGCCGCGGTCGAACAAGTTCTCGAGCAACAACAAGAAGTTGTGTCCGAAGAGAAACCAGCCGAAGAAGTGCCAGCTGTGGTTGAAGAGATTGCTCCGATCACCGAAGAGAAGCCAGCTGAGGAACCAGTTGCTGTTGAGGCTGCTCCAGTTGCTGAAGAGACTGTCCTCGAGCAAGTGATTGCCGCGGTCGAACAAGTTCTCGAGCAACAACAAGAAGTTGTGTCCGAGGAGAAACCAGCCGAAGAAGTGCCAGCTGTGGTTGAAGAGATTGCTCCGATCACCGAAGAGAAGCCAGCTGAGGAACCAGTTGCTGATGAGGCTGCTCCAGTCTCTGAAGAGGCTGCTCCAGTTGCTGAAGAGACTGTCCTCGAGCAAGTGATTGCCGCGGTCGAACAAGCTCTCGAGCAACAACAAGAAGTTGTGTCCGAGGAGAAACCAGCCGAAGAAGTGCCAGCTGTGGTTGAAGAGATTGCTCCGATCACCGAAGAGAAGCCAGCTGAGGAACCAGTTGCTGATGAGGCTGCTCCAGTTGCTGAAGAGGCTGCTCAGTTGCTGAAGAGACTGTCCCCGAGGAAGTGATTGCCGCGGTCGAACAAGCTCTCGAGCAACAACAAGAAGTTGTGTCCGAGGAGAAACCAGCCGAAGAAGTGCCAGCTGTGGTTGAAGAGATTGCTCCGATCACCGAAGAGAAGCCAGCTGAGGAACCAGTTGCTGATGAGGCTGCTCCAGTTGCTGAAGAGACTGCCCTCGAGCAAGTGATTGCCGCGGTCGAACAAGCTCTCGAGCAACAACAAGAAGTTGTGTCCGAGGAGAAACCAGCCGAAGAAGTGCCAGCTGTGGTTGAAGAGATTGCTCCGATCACCGAAGAGAAGCCAGCTGAGGAACCAGTTGCTGATGAGGCTGCTCCAGTTGCTGAAGAGACGGTCCTCGAGCAAGTGATTGCCGCGGTCGAACAAGCTCTCGAGCAACAACAAGAAGTTGTGTCCGAGGAGAAACCAGCCGAAGAAGTGCCAGCTGTGGTTGAAGAGATTGCTCCGATCACCGAAGAGAAGCCAGCTGAGGAACCAGTTGCTGATGAGGCTGCTCCAGTTGCTGAAGAGACTGTCCCCGAGGAAGTGATTGCCGCGGTCGAACAAGCTCTCGAGCAACAACAAGAAGTTGTGTCCGAGGAGAAACCAGCCGAAGAAGTGCCAGCTGTGGTTGAAGAGATTGCTCCGATCACCGAAGAGAAGCCAGCTGAGGAACCAGTTGCTGATGAGGCTGCTCCAGTTGCTGAAGAGACTGCCCTCGAGCAAGTGATTGCCGCGGTCGAACAAGCTCTCGAGCAACAACAAGAAGTTGTGTCCGAGGAGAAACCAGCCGAAGAAGTGCCAGCTGTGGTTGAAGAGATTGCTCCGATCACCGAAGAGAAGCCAGCTGAGGAACCAGTTGCTGATGAGGCTGCTCCAGTTGCTGAAGAGACTGTCCTCGAGCAAGTGATTCCTGCAGTCGAACAAGTTCTCGAGCAACAACAAGAAGTTGTGTCCGAGGAGAAACCAGCCGAAGAAGTGCCAGCTGTGGTTGAAGAGATTGCTCCGATCACCGAAGAGAAGCCAGCTGAGGAACCAGTTGCTGATGAGGCTGCTCCAGTTGCTGAAGAGGCTGCTCCAGTTGCTGAAGAGACTGTCCCCGAGGAAGTGATTGCCGCGGTCGAACAAGCTCTCGAGCAACAACAAGAAGTTGTGTCCGAGGAGAAACCAGCCGAAGAAGTGCCAGCTGTGGTTGAAGAGATTGCTCCGATCACCGAAGAGAAGCCAGCTGAGGAACCAGTTGCTGATGAGGCTGCTCCAGTTGCTGAAGAGACTGCCCTCGAGCAAGTGATTGCCGCGGTCGAACAAGCTCTCGAGCAACAACAAGAAGTTGTGTCCGAGGAGAAACCAGCCGAAGAAGTCCCAGCTGTGGTTGAAGAGATTGCTCCGATCACCGAAGAGAAGCCAGCTGAGGAACCAGTTGCTGATGAGGCTGCTCCAGTTGCTGAAGAGACGGTCCTCGAGCAAGTGATTGCCGCGGTCGAACAAGCTCTCGAGCAACAACAAGAAGTTGTGTCCGAGGAGAAACCAGCCGAAGAAGTGCCAGCTGTGGTTGAAGAGATTGCTCCGATCACCGAAGAGAAGCCAGCTGAGGAACCAGTTGCTGATGAGGCTGCTCCAGTTGCTGAAGAGACTGTCCTCGAGCAAGTGATTGCCGCGGTCGAACAAGCTCTCGAGCAACAACAAGAAGTTGTGTCCGAGGAGAAACCAGCCGAAGAAGTGCCAGCTGTGGTTGAAGAGATTGCTCCGATCACCGAAGAGAAGCCAGCTGAGGAACCAGTTGCTGATGAGGCTGCTCCAGTTGCTGAAGAGGCTGCTCCAGTTGCTGAAGAGACTGTCCCCGAGGAAGTGATTGCCGCGGTCGAACAAGCTCTCGAGCAACAACAAGAAGTTGTGTCCGAGGAGAAACCAGCCGAAGAAGTGCCAGCTGTGGTTGAAGAGATTGCTCCGATCACCGAAGAGAAGCCAGCTGAGGAACCAGTTGCTGATGAGGCTGCTCCAGTTGCTGAAGAGACTGCCCTCGAGCAAGTGATTGCCGCGGTCGAACAAGTTCTCGAGCAACAACAAGAAGTTGTGTCCGAGGAGAAACCAGCCGAAGAAGTGCCAGCTGTGGCTGAAGAGATTGCTCCGATCACCGAAGAGAAGCCAGCTGAGGAACCAGTTGCTGATGAGGCTGCTCCAGTTGCTGAAGAGACTGTCTTCGAGCAAGTGATTGCCGCGGTCGAACAAGTTCTCGAGCAACAACAAGAAGTTGTGTCCGAGGAGAAACCAGCCGAAGAAGTGCCAGCTGTGGTTGAAGAGATTGCTCCGATCACCGAAGAGAAGCCAGCTGAGGAACCAGTTGCTGATGAGGCTGCTCCAGTTGCTGAAGAGACTGTCCTCGAGCAAGTGATTGCCGCGGTCGAACAAGCTCTCGAGCAACAACAAGAAGTTGTGTCCGAGGAGAAACCAGCCGAAGAAGTGCCAGCTGTGGTTGAAGAGATTGCTCCGATCACCGAAGAGAAGCCAGCTGAGGAACCAGTTGCTGATGAGGCTGCTCCAGTTGCTGAAGAGACTGTCCTCGAGCAAGTGATTGCCGCGGTCGAACAAGCTCTCGAGCAACAACAAGAAGTTGTGTCCGAGGAGAAACCAGCCGAAGAAGTGCCAGCTGTGGTTGAAGAGATTGCTCCGATCACCGAAGAGAAGCCAGCTGAGGAACCAGTTGCTGATGAGGCTGCTCCAGTTGCTGAAGAGACTGCCCTCGAGCAAGTGATTGCCGCGGTCGAACAAGCTCTCGAGCAACAACAAGAAGTTGTGTCCGAGGAGAAACCAGCCGAAGAAGTGCCTGCTGTGGTTGAAGAGATTGCTCCGATCACCGAAGAGAAGCCAGCTGAGGAACCAGTTGCTGATGAGGCTGCTCCAGTTGCTGAGGAGACTGTCCTCGAGCAAGTGATTCCTGCAGTCGAACAAGTTCTCGAGCAACAACAAGAAGTTGTGTCCGAGGAGAAACCAGCCGAAGAAGTGCCAGCTGTGGTTGAAGAGATTGCTCCGATCACCGAAGAGAAGCCAGCTGAGGAACCAGTTGCTGATGAGGCTGCTCCAGTTGCTGAAGAGGCTGCTCCAGTTGCTGAAGAGACTGTCCCCGAGGAAGTGATTGCCGCGGTCGAACAAGCTCTCGAGCAACAACAAGAAGTTGTGCCCGAGGAGAAACCAGCCGAAGAAGTGCCAGCTGTGGTTGAAGAGATTGCTCCGATCACCGAAGAGAAGCCAGCTGAGGAACCAGTTGCTGATGAGGCTGCTCCAGTTGCTGAAGAGACTGTCCTCGAGCAAGTGATTGCCGCGGTCGAACAAGCTCTCGAGCAACAACAAGAAGTTGTGTCCGAGGAGAAACCAGCCGAAGAAGTGCCAGCTGTGGTTGAAGAGATTGCTCCGATCACCGAAGAGAAGCCAGCTGAGGAACCAGTTGCTGATGAGGCTGCTCCAGTCTCTGAAGAGACTGTCCTCGAGCAAGTGATTGCCGCGGTCGAACAAGCTCTCGAGCAACAACAAGAAGTTGTGTCCGAGGAGAAACCAGCCGAAGAAGTGCCAGCTGTGGTTGAAGAGATTGCTCCGATCACCGAAGAGAAGCCAGCTGAGGAACCAGTTGCTGATGAGGCTGCTCCAGTTGCTGAAGAGGCTGCTCCAGTTGCTGAAGAGACTGTCCCCGAGGAAGTGATTGCCGCGGTCGAACAAGCTCTCGAGCAACAACAAGAAGTTGTGTCCGAGGAGAAACCAGCCGAAGAAGTGCCAGCTGTGGTTGAAGAGATTGCTCCGATCACCGAAGAGAAGCCAGCTGAGGAACCAGTTGCTGATGAGGCTGCTCCAGTTGCTGAAGAGACTGCCCTCGAGCAAGTGATTGCCGCGGTCGAACAAGCTCTCGAGCAACAACAAGAAGTTGTGTCCGAGGAGAAACCAGCCGAAGAAGTGCCTGCTGTGGCTGAAGAGATTGCTCCGATCACCGAAGAGAAGCCAGCTGAGGAACCAGTTGCTGATGAGGCTGCTCCAGTTGCTGAAGAGACTGTCCTCGAGCAAGTGATTGCCGCGGTCGAACAAGCTCTCGAGCAACAACAAGAAGTTGTGTCCGAGGAGAAACCAGCCGAAGAAGTGCCAGCTGTGGTTGAAGAGATTGCTCCGATCACCGAAGAGAAGCCAGCTGAGGAACCAGTTGCTGATGAGGCTGCTCCAGTTGCTGAAGAGACTGCCCTCGAGCAAGTGATTGCCGCGGTCGAACAAGCTCTCGAGCAACAACAAGAAGTTGTGTCCGAGGAGAAACCAGCCGAAGAAGTGCCAGCTGTGGCTGAAGAGATTGCTCCGATCACCGAAGAGAAGCCAGCTGAGGAACCAGTTGCTGATGAGGCTGCTCCAGTTGCTGAAGAGACTGTCCTCGAGCAAGTGATTGCCGCGGTCGAACAAGCTCTCGAGCAACAACAAGAAGTTGTGTCCGAGGAGAAACCAGCCGAAGAAGTGCCAGCTGTGGTTGAAGAGATTGCTCCGATCACCGAAGAGAAGCCAGCTGAGGAACCAGTTGCTGATGAGGCTGCTCCAGTTGCTGAAGAGACTGTCCTCGAGCAAGTGATTGCCGCGGTCGAACAAGCTCTCGAGCAACAACAAGAAGTTGTGTCCGAGGAGAAACCAGCCGAAGAAGTGCCAGCTGTGGTTGAAGAGATTGCTCCGATCACCGAAGAGAAGCCAGCTGAGGAACCAGTTGCTGATGAGGCTGCTCCAGTTGCTGAAGAGACTGTCCTCGAGCAAGTGATTGCCGCGGTCGAACAAGCTCTCGAGCAACAACAAGAAGTTGTGTCCGAGGAGAAACCAGCCGAAGAAGTGCCAGCTGTGGTTGAAGAGATTGCTCCGATCACCGAAGAGAAGCCAGCTGAGGAACCAGTTGCTGATGAGGCTGCTCCAGTCTCTGAAGAGACTGTCCTCGAGCAAGTGATTGCCGCGGTCGAACAAGCTCTCGAGCAACAACAAGAAGTTGTGTCCGAGGAGAAACCAGCCGAAGAAGTGCCAGCTGTGGTTGAAGAGATTGCTCCGATCACCGAAGAGAAGCCAGCTGAGGAACCAGTTGCTGATGAGGCTGCTCCAGTTGCTGAAGAGGCTGCTCCAGTTGCTGAAGAGACTGTCCCCGAGGAAGTGATTGCCGCGGTCGAACAAGCTCTCGAGCAACAACAAGAAGTTGTGTCCGAGGAGAAACCAGCCGAAGAAGTGCCAGCTGTGGTTGAAGAGATTGCTCCGATCACCGAAGAGAAGCCAGCTGAGGAACCAGTTGCTGATGAGGCTGCTCCAGTTGCTGAAGAGACTGCCCTCGAGCAAGTGATTGCCGCGGTCGAACAAGCTCTCGAGCAACAACAAGAAGTTGTGTCCGAGGAGAAACCAGCCGAAGAAGTGCCTGCTGTGGTTGAAGAGATTGCTCCGATCACCGAAGAGAAGCCAGCTGAGGAACCAGTTGCTGATGAGGCTGCTCCAGTTGCTGAAGAGACTGTCCTCGAGCAAGTGATTGCCGCGGTCGAACAAGCTCTCGAGCAACAACAAGAAGTTGTGTCCGAGGAGAAACCAGCCGAAGAAGTGCCAGCTGTGGTTGAAGAGATTGCTCCGATCACCGAAGAGAAGCCAGCTGAGGAACCAGTTGCTGATGAGGCTGCTCCAGTTGCTGAAGAGACTGTCCTCGAGCAAGTGATTGCTGCAGTCGAACAAGTTCTCGAGCAACAACAAGAAGTTGTGTCCGAGGAGAAACCAGCCGAAGCAGTGCCTGCTGTGGTTGAAGAGATTGCTCCGATCACCGAAGAGAAGCCAGCTGAGGAACCAGTTGCTGATGAGGCTGCTCCAGTTGCTGAAGAGACGGTCCTCGAGCAAGTGATTGCCGCGGTCGAACAAGCTCTCGAGCAACAACAAGAAGTTGTGTCCGAGGAGAAACCAGCCGAAGAAGTGCCAGCTGTGGTTGAAGAGATTGCTCCGATCACCGAAGAGAAGCCAGCTGAGGAACCAGTTGCTGATGAGGCTGCTCCAGTTGCTGAAGAGACTGCCCTCGAGCAAGTGATTGCCGCGGTCGAACAAGCTCTCGAGCAACAACAAGAAGTTGTGTCCGAGGAGAAACCAGCCGAAGAAGTGCCTGCTGTGGCTGAAGAGATTGCTCCGATCACCGAAGAGAAGCCAGCTGAGGAACCAGTTGCTGATGAGGCTGCTCCAGTTGCTGAAGAGACTGTCCTCGAGCAAGTGATTGCCGCGGTCGAACAAGCTCTCGAGCAACAACAAGAAGTTGTGTCCGAGGAGAAACCAGCCGAAGAAGTGCCAGCTGTGGTTGAAGAGATTGCTCCGATCACCGAAGAGAAGCCAGCTGAGGAACCAGTTGCTGATGAGGCTGCTCCAGTTGCTGAAGAGACTGTCCTCGAGCAAGTGATTGCCGCGGTCGAACAAGCTCTCGAGCAACAACAAGAAGTTGTGTCCGAGGAGAAACCAGCCGAAGAAGTGCCAGCTGTGGTTGAAGAGATTGCTCCGATCACCGAAGAGAAGCCAGCTGAGGAACCAGTTGCTGATGAGGCTGCTCCAGTTGCTGAAGAGACTGTCCTCGAGCAAGTGATTGCCGCGGTCGAACAAGCTCTCGAGCAACAACAAGAAGTTGTGTCCGAGGAGAAACCAGCCGAAGAAGTGCCAGCTGTGGTTGAAGAGATTGCTCCGATCACCGAAGAGAAGCCAGCTGAGGAACCAGTTGCTGATGAGGCTGCTCCAGTTGCTGAAGAGACTGTCCTCGAGCAAGTGATTGCCGCGGTCGAACAAGCTCTCGAGCAACAACAAGAAGTTGTGTCCGAGGAGAAACCAGCCGAAGAAGTGCCAGCTGTGGTTGAAGAGATTGCTCCGATCACCGAAGAGAAGCCAGCTGAGGAACCAGTTGCTGATGAGGCTGCTCCAGTCTCTGAAGAGACTGTCCTCGAGCAAGTGATTGCCGCGGTCGAACAAGCTCTCGAGCAACAACAAGAAGTTGTGTCCGAGGAGAAACCAGCCGAAGAAGTGCCAGCTGTGGTTGAAGAGATTGCTCCGATCACCGAAGAGAAGCCAGCTGAGGAACCAGTTGCTGATGAGGCTGCTCCAGTTGCTGAAGAGGCTGCTCCAGTTGCTGAAGAGACTGTCCCCGAGGAAGTGATTGCCGCGGTCGAACAAGCTCTCGAGCAACAACAAGAAGTTGTGTCCGAGGAGAAACCAGCCGAAGAAGTGCCAGCTGTGGTTGAAGAGATTGCTCCGATCACCGAAGAGAAGCCAGCTGAGGAACCAGTTGCTGATGAGGCTGCTCCAGTTGCTGAAGAGACTGCCCTCGAGCAAGTGATTGCCGCGGTCGAACAAGCTCTCGAGCAACAACAAGAAGTTGTGTCCGAGGAGAAACCAGCCGAAGAAGTGCCTGCTGTGGTTGAAGAGATTGCTCCGATCACCGAAGAGAAGCCAGCTGAGGAACCAGTTGCTGATGAGGCTGCTCCAGTTGCTGAAGAGACGGTCCTCGAGCAAGTGATTGCCGCGGTCGAACAAGCTCTCGAGCAACAACAAGAAGTTGTGTCCGAGGAGAAACCAGCCGAAGAAGTGCCAGCTGTGGTTGAAGAGATTGCTCCGATCACCGAAGAGAAGCCAGCTGAGGAACCAGTTGCTGATGAGGCTGCTCCAGTTGCTGAAGAGACTGTCCTCGAGCAAGTGATTGCTGCAGTCGAACAAGTTCTCGAGCAACAACAAGAAGTTGTGTCCGAGGAGAAACCAGCCGAAGCAGTGCCTGCTGTGGTTGAAGAGATTGCTCCGATCACCGAAGAGAAGCCAGCTGAGGAACCAGTTGCTGATGAGGCTGCTCCAGTTGCTGAAGAGACGGTCCTCGAGCAAGTGATTGCCGCGGTCGAACAAGCTCTCGAGCAACAACAAGAAGTTGTGTCCGAGGAGAAACCAGCCGAAGAAGTGCCAGCTGTGGTTGAAGAGATTGCTCCGATCACCGAAGAGAAGCCAGCTGAGGAACCAGTTGCTGATGAGGCTGCTCCAGTTGCTGAAGAGACTGCCCTCGAGCAAGTGATTGCCGCGGTCGAACAAGCTCTCGAGCAACAACAAGAAGTTGTGTCCGAGGAGAAACCAGCCGAAGAAGTGCCTGCTGTGGCTGAAGAGATTGCTCCGATCACCGAAGAGAAGCCAGCTGAGGAACCAGTTGCTGATGAGGCTGCTCCAGTTGCTGAAGAGACTGTCCTCGAGCAAGTGATTGCCGCGGTCGAACAAGCTCTCGAGCAACAACAAGAAGTTGTGTCCGAGGAGAAACCAGCCGAAGAAGTGCCAGCTGTGGTTGAAGAGATTGCTCCGATCACCGAAGAGAAGCCAGCTGAGGAACCAGTTGCTGATGAGGCTGCTCCAGTTGCTGAAGAGACTGTCCTCGAGCAAGTGATTGCCGCGGTCGAACAAGCTCTCGAGCAACAACAAGAAGTTGTGTCCGAGGAGAAACCAGCCGAAGAAGTGCCAGCTGTGGTTGAAGAGATTGCTCCGATCACCGAAGAGAAGCCAGCTGAGGAACCAGTTGCTGATGAGGCTGCTCCAGTTGCTGAAGAGACTGTCCTCGAGCAAGTGATTGCCGCGGTCGAACAAGCTCTCGAGCAACAACAAGAAGTTGTGTCCGAGGAGAAACCAGCCGAAGAAGTGCCAGCTGTGGTTGAAGAGATTGCTCCGATCACCGAAGAGAAGCCAGCTGAGGAACCAGTTGCTGATGAGGCTGCTCCAGTTGCTGAAGGGACTGTCCTCGAGCAAGTGATTGCCGCGGTCGAACAAGCTCTCGAGCAACAACAAGAAGTTGTGTCCGAGGAGAAACCAGCCGAAGAAGTGCCAGCTGTGGTTGAAGAGATTGCTCCGATCACCGAAGAGAAGCCAGCTGAGGAACCAGTTGCTGATGAGGCTGCTCCAGTTGCTGATGAGGCTGCTCCAGTTGCTGAAGAGACTGTCCTCGAGCAAGTGATTGCCGCGGTCGAACAAGCTCTCGAGCAACAACAAGAAGTTGTGTCCGAGGAGAAACCAGCCGAAGAAGTGCCAGCTGTGGTTGAAGAGATTGCTCCGATCACCGAAGAGAAGCCAGCTGAGGAACCAGTTGCTGATGAGGCTGCTCCAGTTGCTGAAGAGACTGTCCTCGAGCAAGTGATTGCCGCGGTCGAACAAGCTCTCGAGCAACAACAAGAAGTTGTGTCCGAGGAGAAACCAGCCGAAGAAGTGCCAGCTGTGGTTGAAGAGATTGCTCCGATCACCGGAGAGAAGCCAGCTGAGGAACCAGTTGCTGATGAGGCTGCTCCAGTTGCTGAAGAGACTGTCCTCGAGCAAGTGATTGCCGCGGTCGAACAAGCTCTCGAGCAACAACAAGAAGTTGTGTCCGAGGAGAAACCAGCCGAAGAAGTGCCAGCTGTGGTTGAAGAGATTGCTCCGATCACCGAAGAGAAGCCAGCTGAGGAACCAGTTGCTGATGAGGCTGCTCCAGTTGCTGAAGAGACTGTCCTCGAGCAAGTGATTGCCGCGGTCGAACAAGCTCTCGAGCAACAACAAGAAGTTGTGTCCGAGGAGAAACCAGCCGAAGAAGTGCCAGCTGTGGTTGAAGAGATTGCTCCGATCACCGAAGAGAAGCCAGCTGAGGAACCAGTTGCTGATGAGGCTGCTCCAGTTGCTGAAGAGACTGTCCTCGAGCAAGTGATTGCCGCGGTCGAACAAGCTCTCGAGCAACAACAAGAAGTTGTGTCCGAGGAGAAACCAGCCGAAGAAGTGCCAGCTGTGGTTGAAGAGATTGCTCCGATCACCGAAGAGAAGCCAGCTGAGGAACCAGTTGCTGATGAGGCTGCTCCAGTTGCTGAAGAGACTGTCCTCGAGCAAGTGATTGCCGCGGTCGAACAAGCTCTCGAGCAACAACAAGAAGTTGTGTCCGAGGAGAAACCAGCCGAAGAAGTGCCAGCTGTGGTTGAAGAGATTGCTCCGATCACCGAAGAGAAGCCAGCTGAGGAACCAGTTGCTGATGAGGCTGCTCCAGTTGCTGATGAGGCTGCTCCAGTTGCTGAAGAGACTGTCCTCGAGCAAGTGATTGCCGCGGTCGAACAAGCTCTCGAGCAACAACAAGAAGTTGTGTCCGAGGAGAAACCAGCCGAAGAAGTGCCAGCTGTGGTTGAAGAGATTGCTCCGATCACCGAAGAGAAGCCAGCTGAGGAACCAGTTGCTGATGAGGCTGCTCCAGTTGCTGAAGAGACTGTCCTCGAGCAAGTGATTGCCGCGGTCGAACAAGCTCTCGAGCAACAACAAGAAGTTGTGTCCGAGGAGAAACCAGCCGAAGAAGTGCCAGCTGTGGTTGAAGAGATTGCTCCGATCACCGAAGAGAAGCCAGCTGAGGAACCAGTTGCTGATGAGGCTGCTCCAGTTGCTGATGAGGCTGCTCCAGTTGCTGAAGAGACTGTCCTCGAGCAAGTGATTGCCGCGGTCGAACAAGCTCTCGAGCAACAACAAGAAGTTGTGTCCGAGGAGAAACCAGCCGAAGAAGTGCCAGCTGTGGTTGAAGAGATTGCTCCGATCACCGAAGAGAAGCCAGCTGAGGAACCAGTTGCTGATGAGGCTGCTCCAGTTGCTGAAGAGACTGTCCTCGAGCAAGTGATTGCCGCGGTCGAACAAGCTCTCGAGCAACAACAAGAAGTTGTGTCCGAGGAGAAACCAGCCGAAGAAGTGCCAGCTGTGGTTGAAGAGATTGCTCCGATCACCGGAGAGAAGCCAGCTGAGGAACCAGTTGCTGATGAGGCTGCTCCAGTTGCTGAAGAGACTGTCCTCGAGCAAGTGATTGCCGCGGTCGAACAAGCTCTCGAGCAACAACAAGAAGTTGTGTCCGAGGAGAAACCAGCCGAAGAAGTGCCAGCTGTGGTTGAAGAGATTGCTCCGATCACCGAAGAGAAGCCAGCTGAGGAACCAGTTGCTGATGAGGCTGCTCCAGTTGCTGAAGAGACTGTCCTCGAGCAAGTGATTGCCGCGGTCGAACAAGCTCTCGAGCAACAACAAGAAGTTGTGTCCGAGGAGAAACCAGCCGAAGAAGTGCCAGCTGTGGTTGAAGAGATTGCTCCGATCACCGAAGAGAAGCCAGCTGAGGAACCAGTTGCTGATGAGGCTGCTCCAGTTGCTGAAGAGACTGTCCTCGAGCAAGTGATTGCCGCGGTCGAACAAGCTCTCGAGCAACAACAAGAAGTTGTGTCCGAGGAGAAACCAGCCGAAGAAGTGCCAGCTGTGGTTGAAGAGATTGCTCCGATCACCGAAGAGAAGCCAGCTGAGGAACCAGTTGCTGATGAGGCTGCTCCAGTTGCTGAAGAGACTGTCCTCGAGCAAGTGATTGCCGCGGTCGAACAAGCTCTCGAGCAACAACAAGAAGTTGTGTCCGAGGAGAAACCAGCCGAAGAAGTGCCAGCTGTGGTTGAAGAGATTGCTCCGATCACCGAAGAGAAGCCAGCTGAGGAACCAGTTGCTGATGAGGCTGCTCCAGTTGCTGATGAGGCTGCTCCAGTTGCTGAAGAGACTGTCCTCGAGCAAGTGATTGCCGCGGTCGAACAAGCTCTCGAGCAACAACAAGAAGTTGTGTCCGAGGAGAAACCAGCCGAAGAAGTGCCAGCTGTGGTTGAAGAGATTGCTCCGATCACCGAAGAGAAGCCAGCTGAGGAACCAGTTGCTGATGAGGCTGCTCCAGTTGCTGAAGAGACTGTCCTCGAGCAAGTGATTGCCGCGGTCGAACAAGCTCTCGAGCAACAACAAGAAGTTGTGTCCGAGGAGAAACCAGCCGAAGAAGTGCCAGCTGTGGTTGAAGAGATTGCTCCGATCACCGAAGAGAAGCCAGCTGAGGAACCAGTTGCTGATGAGGCTGCTCCAGTTGCTGAAGAGACTGTCCTCGAGCAAGTGATTGCCGCGGTCGAACAAGCTCTCGAGCAACAACAAGAAGTTGTGTCCGAGGAGAAACCAGCCGAAGAAGTGCCAGCTGTGGTTGAAGAGATTGCTCCGATCACCGAAGAGAAGCCAGCTGAGGAACCAGTTGCTGATGAGGCTGCTCCAGTTGCTGAAGAGGCTGCTCCAGTTGCTGAAGAGACTGTCCCCGAGGAAGTGATTGCCGCGGTCGAACAAGCTCTCGAGCAACAACAAGAAGTTGTGTCCGAGGAGAAACCAGCCGAAGAAGTGCCAGCTGTGGTTGAAGAGATTGCTCCGATCACCGAAGAGAAGCCAGCTGAGGAACCAGTTGCTGATGAGGCTGCTCCAGTTGCTGAAGAGACTGCCCTCGAGCAAGTGATTGCCGCGGTCGAACAAGCTCTCGAGCAACAACAAGAAGTTGTGTCCGAGGAGAAACCAGCCGAAGTAGTGCCTGCTGTGGCTGAAGAGATTGCTCCGATCACCGAAGAGAAGCCAGCTGAGGAACCAGTTGCTGATGAGGCTGCTCCAGTTGCTGAAGAGACTGTCCTCGAGCAAGTGATTGCCGCGGTCGAACAAGCTCTCGAGCAACAACAAGAAGTTGTGTCCGAGGAGAAACCAGCCGAAGAAGTGCCAGCTGTGGTTGAAGAGATTGCTCCGATCACCGAAGAGAAGCCAGCTGAGGAACCAGTTGCTGATGAGGCTGCTCCAGTCTCTGAAGCGGCTGCTCCAGTTGTTGAAGAGACTGTCCCCGAGCAAGTGATTGCTGCCGTCGAACAAGTTCTCGAGCAACAACAAGAAGTTGTGTCCGAAGAGAAACCAGCCGAAGAAGTGCCAGCTGTGGTTGAAGAGATTGCTCCGATCACCGAAGAGAAGCCAGCTGAGGAACCAGTTGCTGATGAGGCTGCTCCAGTCTCTGAAGCGGCTGCTCCAGTTGTTGAAGAGACTGTCCCCGAGCAAGTGATTGCTGCCGTCGAACAAGTTCTCGAGCAACAACAAGAAGTTGTGTCCGAAGAGAAACCAGCCGAAGAAGTGCCAGCTGTGGTTGAAGAGATTGCTCCGATCACCGAAGAGAAGCCAGCTGAGGAACCAGTTGCTGAAGAGACTGTCCTCGAGCAAGTGATTGCCGCGGTCGAACAAGCTCTCGAGCAACAACAAGAAGTTGTGTCCGAGGAGAAACCAGCCGAAGAAGTGCCAGCTGTGGTTGAAGAGATTGCTCCGATCACCGAAGAGAAGCCAGCTGAGGAACCAGTTGCTGATGAGGCTGCTCCAGTCTCTGAAGAGGCTGCTCCAGTTGCTGAAGAGACTGTCCTTGAGCAAGTGATTGCCGCGGTCGAACAAGCTCTCGAGCAACAACAAGAAGTTGTGTCCGAGGAGAAACCAGCCGAAGAAGTGCCAGCTGTGGTTGAAGAGATTGCTCCGATCACCGAAGAGAAGCCAGCTGAGGAACCAGTTGCTGATGAGGCTGCTCCAGTTGCTGAAGAGACTGTCCTCGAGCAAGTGATTGCCGCGGTCGAACAAGCTCTCGAGCAACAACAAGAAGTTGTGTCCGAGGAGAAACCAGCCGAAGAAGTGCCAGCTGTGGTTGAAGAGATTGCTCCGATCACCGAAGAGAAGCCAGCTGAGGAACCAGTTGCTGATGAGGCTGCTCCAGTTGCTGATGAGGCTGCTCCAGTTGCTGAAGAGACTGTCCTCGAGCAAGTGATTGCCGCGGTCGAACAAGCTCTCGAGCAACAACAAGAAGTTGTGTCCGAGGAGAAACCAGCCGAAGAAGTGCCAGCTGTGGTTGAAGAGATTGCTCCGATCACCGAAGAGAAGCCAGCTGAGGAACCAGTTGCTGATGAGGCTGCTCCAGTTGCTGAAGAGACTGTCCTCGAGCAAGTGATTGCCGCGGTCGAACAAGCTCTCGAGCAACAACAAGAAGTTGTGTCCGAGGAGAAACCAGCCGAAGAAGTGCCAGCTGTGGTTGAAGAGATTGCTCCGATCACCGAAGAGAAGCCAGCTGAGGAACCAGTTGCTGATGAGGCTGCTCCAGTTGCTGAAGAGACTGCCCTCGAGCAAGTGATTGCCGCGGTCGAACAAGCTCTCGAGCAACAACAAGAAGTTGTGTCCGAGGAGAAACCAGCCGAAGAAGTCCCTGCTGTGGTTGAAGAGATTGCTCCGATCACCGAAGAGAAGCCAGCTGAGGAACCAGTTGCTGATGAGGCTGCTCCAGTTGCTGAAGAGACGGTCCTCGAGCAAGTGATTGCCGCGGTCGAACAAGCTCTCGAGCAACAACAAGAAGTTGTGTCCGAGGAGAAACCAGCCGAAGAAGTGCCAGCTGTGGTTGAAGAGATTGCTCCGATCACCGGAGAGAAGCCAGCTGAGGAACCAGTTGCTGATGAGGCTGCTCCAGTTGCTGAAGAGACTGTCCTCGAGCAAGTGATTGCCGCGGTCGAACAAGCTCTCGAGCAACAACAAGAAGTTGTGTCCGAGGAGAAACCAGCCGAAGAAGTGCCAGCTGTGGTTGAAGAGATTGCTCCGATCACCGAAGAGAAGCCAGCTGAGGAACCAGTTGCTGATGAGGCTGCTCCAGTTGCTGAAGAGACTGTCCTCGAGCAAGTGATTGCCGCGGTCGAACAAGCTCTCGAGCAACAACAAGAAGTTGTGTCCGAGGAGAAACCAGCCGAAGAAGTGCCAGCTGTGGTTGAAGAGATTGCTCCGATCACCGAAGAGAAGCCAGCTGAGGAACCAGTTGCTGATGAGGGCTGCTCCAGTTGCTGAAGAGACTGTCCTCGAGCAAGTGATTGCCGCGGTCGAACAAGCTCTCGAGCAACAACAAGAAGTTGTGTCCGAGGAGAAACCAGCCGAAGAAGTGCCAGCTGTGGTTGAAGAGATTGCTCCGATCACCGAAGAGAAGCCAGCTGAGGAACCAGTTGCTGATGAGGCTGCTCCAGTTGCTGAAGAGACTGTCCTCGAGCAAGTGATTGCCGCGGTCGAACAAGCTCTCGAGCAACAACAAGAAGTTGTGTCCGAGGAGAAACCAGCCGAAGAAGTGCCAGCTGTGGTTGAAGAGATTGCTCCGATCACCGAAGAGAAGCCAGCTGAGGAACCAGTTGCTGATGAGGCTGCTCCAGTTGCTGATGAGGCTGCTCCAGTTGCTGAAGAGACTGTCCTCGAGCAAGTGATTGCCGCGGTCGAACAAGCTCTCGAGCAACAACAAGAAGTTGTGTCCGAGGAGAAACCAGCCGAAGAAGTGCCAGCTGTGGTTGAAGAGATTGCTCCGATCACCGAAGAGAAGCCAGCTGAGGAACCAGTTGCTGATGAGGCTGCTCCAGTTGCTGAAGAGACTGTCCTCGAGCAAGTGATTGCCGCGGTCGAACAAGCTCTCGAGCAACAACAAGAAGTTGTGTCCGAGGAGAAACCAGCCGAAGAAGTGCCAGCTGTGGTTGAAGAGATTGCTCCGATCACCGAAGAGAAGCCAGCTGAGGAACCAGTTGCTGATGAGGCTGCTCCAGTTGCTGAAGAGACTGTCCTCGAGCAAGTGATTGCCGCGGTCGAACAAGCTCTCGAGCAACAACAAGAAGTTGTGTCCGAGGAGAAACCAGCCGAAGAAGTGCCAGCTGTGGTTGAAGAGATTGCTCCGATCACCGAAGAGAAGCCAGCTGAGGAACCAGTTGCTGATGAGGCTGCTCCAGTTGCTGAAGAGGCTGCTCCAGTTGCTGAAGAGACTGTCCCCGAGGAAGTGATTGCCGCGGTCGAACAAGCTCTCGAGCAACAACAAGAAGTTGTGTCCGAGGAGAAACCAGCCGAAGAAGTGCCAGCTGTGGTTGAAGAGATTGCTCCGATCACCGAAGAGAAGCCAGCTGAGGAACCAGTTGCTGATGAGGCTGCTCCAGTTGCTGAAGAGACTGCCCTCGAGCAAGTGATTGCCGCGGTCGAACAAGCTCTCGAGCAACAACAAGAAGTTGTGTCCGAGGAGAAACCAGCCGAAGTAGTGCCTGCTGTGGCTGAAGAGATTGCTCCGATCACCGAAGAGAAGCCAGCTGAGGAACCAGTTGCTGATGAGGCTGCTCCAGTTGCTGAAGAGACTGTCCTCGAGCAAGTGATTGCCGCGGTCGAACAAGCTCTCGAGCAACAACAAGAAGTTGTGTCCGAGGAGAAACCAGCCGAAGAAGTGCCAGCTGTGGTTGAAGAGATTGCTCCGATCACCGAAGAGAAGCCAGCTGAGGAACCAGTTGCTGATGAGGCTGCTCCAGTTGCTGAAGAGACTGTCCTCGAGCAAGTGATTGCCGCGGTCGAACAAGCTCTCGAGCAACAACAAGAAGTTGTGTCCGAGGAGAAACCAGCCGAAGAAGTGCCAGCTGTGGTTGAAGAGATTGCTCCGATCACCGAAGAGAAGCCAGCTGAGGAACCAGTTGCTGATGAGGCTGCTCCAGTTGCTGAAGAGACTGTCCTCGAGCAAGTGATTGCCGCGGTCGAACAAGCTCTCGAGCAACAACAAGAAGTTGTGTCCGAGGAGAAACCAGCCGAAGAAGTGCCAGCTGTGGTTGAAGAGATTGCTCCGATCACCGAAGAGAAGCCAGCTGAGGAACCAGTTGCTGATGAGGCTGCTCCAGTTGCTGAAGAGACTGTCCTCGAGCAAGTGATTGCCGCGGTCGAACAAGCTCTCGAGCAACAACAAGAAGTTGTGTCCGAGGAGAAACCAGCCGAAGAAGTGCCAGCTGTGGTTGAAGAGATTGCTCCGATCACCGAAGAGAAGCCAGCTGAGGAACCAGTTGCTGATGAGGCTGCTCCAGTTGCTGAAGAGGCTGCTCCAGTTGCTGAAGAGACTGTCCCCGAGGAAGTGATTGCCGCGGTCGAACAAGCTCTCGAGCAACAACAAGAAGTTGTGTCCGAGGAGAAACCAGCCGAAGAAGTGCCAGCTGTGGTTGAAGAGATTGCTCCGATCACCGAAGAGAAGCCAGCTGAGGAACCAGTTGCTGATGAGGCTGCTCCAGTTGCTGAAGAGACTGCCCTCGAGCAAGTGATTGCCGCGGTCGAACAAGCTCTCGAGCAACAACAAGAAGTTGTGTCCGAGGAGAAACCAGCCGAAGTAGTGCCTGCTGTGGCTGAAGAGATTGCTCCGATCACCGAAGAGAAGCCAGCTGAGGAACCAGTTGCTGATGAGGCTGCTCCAGTTGCTGAAGAGACTGTCCTCGAGCAAGTGATTGCCGCGGTCGAACAAGCTCTCGAGCAACAACAAGAAGTTGTGTCCGAGGAGAAACCAGCCGAAGAAGTGCCAGCTGTGGTTGAAGAGATTGCTCCGATCACCGAAGAGAAGCCAGCTGAGGAACCAGTTGCTGATGAGGCTGCTCCAGTCTCTGAAGCGGCTGCTCCAGTTGTTGAAGAGACTGTCCCCGAGCAAGTGATTGCTGCCGTCGAACAAGTTCTCGAGCAACAACAAGAAGTTGTGTCCGAAGAGAAACCAGCCGAAGAAGTGCCAGCTGTGGTTGAAGAGATTGCTCCGATCACCGAAGAGAAGCCAGCTGAGGAACCAGTTGCTGATGAGGCTGCTCCAGTTGCTGAAGAGACTGTCCTCGAGCAAGTGATTGCCGCGGTCGAACAAGCTCTCGAGCAACAACAAGAAGTTGTGTCCGAGGAGAAACCAGCCGAAGAAGTGCCAGCTGTGGTTGAAGAGATTGCTCCGATCACCGAAGAGAAGCCAGCTGAGGAACCAGTTGCTGATGAGGCTGCTCCAGTCTCTGAAGCGGCTGCTCCAGTTGTTGAAGAGACTGTCCCCGAGCAAGTGATTGCTGCCGTCGAACAAGTTCTCGAGCAACAACAAGAAGTTGTGTCCGAAGAGAAACCAGCCGAAGAAGTGCCAGCTGTGGTTGAAGAGATTGCTCCGATCACCGAAGAGAAGCCAGCTGAGGAACCAGTTGCTGAAGAGACTGTCCTCGAGCAAGTTATTGCCGCGGTCGAACAAGCTCTCGAGCAACAACAAGAAGTTGTGTCCGAGGAGAAACCAGCCGAAGAAGTGCCAGCTGTGGTTGAAGAGATTGCTCCGATCACCGAAGAGAAGCCAGCTGAGGAACCAGTTGCTAATGAGGCTGCTCCAGTCTCTGAAGAGGCTGCTCCAGTTGTTGAAGAGACTGTCCCCGAGCAAGTGATTGCTGCCGTCGAACAAGTTCTCGAGCAACAACAAGAAGTTGTGTCCGAAGAGAAACCAGCCGAAGAAGTGCCAGCTGTGGTTGAAGAGATTGCTCCGATCACCGAAGAGAAGCCAGCTGAGGAACCAGTTGCTGATGAGGCTGCTCCAGTTGCTGAAGAGACTGTCCTCGAGCAAGTGATTGCCGCGGTCGAACAAGCTCTCGAGCAACAACAAGAAGTTGTGTCCGAGGAGAAACCAGCCGAAGAAGTGCCAGCTGTGGTTGAAGAGATTGCTCCGATCACCGAAGAGAAGCCAGCTGAGGAACCAGTTGCTGATGAGGCTGCTCCAGTTGCTGAAGAGACTGTCCTCGAGCAAGTGATTGCTGCAGTCGAACAAGTTCTCGAGCAACAACAAGAAGTTGTGTCCGAGGAGAAACCAGCCGAAGAAGTGCCTGCTGTGGTTGAAGAGATTGCTCCGATCACCGAAGAGAAGCCAGCTGAGGAACCAGTTGCTGATGAGGCTGCTCCAGTCTCTGAAGAGACTGTCCTCGAGCAAGTGATTGCCGCGGTCGAACAAGCTCTGGAGCAACAACAAGAAGTTGTGTCCGAGGAGAAACCAGCCCAAGAAGTGCCAGCTGTGGTTGAAGAGATTGCTCCGATCACCGAAGAGAAGCCAGCTGAGGAACCAGTTGCTGATGAGGCTGCTCCAGTTGCTGAAGAGACTGTCCTCGAGCAAGTGATTGCCGCGGTCGAACAAGATCTCGAGCAACAACAAGAAGTTGTGTCCGAGGAGAAACCAGCCGAAGAAGTGCCAGCTGTGGTTGAAGAGATTGCTCCGATCACCGAAGAGAAGCCAGCTGAGGAACCAGTTGCTGATGAGGCTGCTCCAGTCTCTGAAGAGGCTGCTCCAGTTGTTGAAGAGACTGTCCCCGAGCAAGTGATTGCTGCCGTCGAACAAGTTCTCGAGCAACAACAAGAAGTTGTGTCCGAAGAGAAACCAGCCGAAGACGTGCCAGCTGTGGTTGAAGAGATTGCTCCGATCACCGAAGAGAAGCCAGCTGAGGAACCAGTTGCTGATGAGGCTGCTCCAGTTGCTGAAGAGACTGTCCTCGAGCAAGTGATTGCCGCGGTCGAACAAGCTCTCGAGCAACAACAAGAAGTTGTGTCCGAGGAGAAACCAGCCGAAGAAGTGCCAGCTGTGGTTGAAGAGATTGCTCCGATCACCGAAGAGAAGCCAGCTGAGGAACCAGTTGCTGATGAGGCTGCTCCAGTTGCTGAAGAGACTGTCCTCGAGCAAGTGATTGCTGCAGTCGAACAAGTTCTCGAGCAACAACAAGAAGTTGTGTCCGAGGAGAAACCAGCCGAAGAAGTGCCTGCTGTGGTTGAAGAGATTGCTCCGATCACCGAAGAGAAGCCAGCTGAGGAACCAGTTGCTGATGAGGCTGCTCCAGTCTCTGAAGAGACTGTCCTCGAGCAAGTGATTGCCGCGGTCGAACAAGCTCTCGAGCAACAACAAGAAGTTGTGTCCGAGGAGAAACCAGCCGAAGAAGTGCCAGCTGTGGTTGAAGAGATTGCTCCGATCACCGAAGAGAAGCCAGCTGAGGAACCAGTTGCTGATGAGGCTGCTCCAGTCTCTGAAGAGACTGTCCCCGAGGAAGTGATTGCCGCGGTCGAACAAGCTCTCGAGCAACAACAAGAAGTTGTGTCCGAGGAGAAACCAGCCCAAGAAGTGCCAGCTGTGGTTGAAGAGATTGCTCCGATCACCGAAGAGAAGCCAGCTGAGGAACCAGTTGCTGATGAGGCTGCTCCAGTCTCTGAAGAGACTGTCCTCGAGCAAGTGATTGCCGCGGTCGAACAAGCTCTCGAGCAACAACAAGAAGTTGTGTCCGAGGAGAAACCAGCCCAAGAAGTGCCAGCTGTGGTTGAAGAGATTGCTCCGATCACCGAAGAGAAGCCAGCTGAGGAACCAGTTGCTGATGAGGCTGCTCCAGTTGCTGAAGAGACTGTCCTCGAGCAAGTGATTGCTGCGGTCGAACAAGTTCTCGAGCAACAACAAGAAGTTGTGTCCGAGGAGAAACCAGCCGAAGAAGTGCCAGCTGTGGTTGAAGAGATTGCTCCGATCACCGAAGAGAAGCCAGCTGAGGAACCAGTTGCTGATGAGGCTGCTCCAGTTGCTGAAGAGACTGTCCTCGAGCAAGTGATTGCCGCGGTCGAACAAGCTCTCGAGCAACAACAAGAAGTTGTGTCCGAGGAGAAACCAGCCGAAGAAGTGCCAGCTGTGGTTGAAGAGATTGCTCCGATCACCGAAGAGAAGCCAGCTGAGGAACCAGTTGCTGATGAGGCTGCTCCAGTTGCTGAAGAGACTGTCCTCGAGCAAGTGATTGCCGCGGTCGAACAAGTTCTCGAGCAACAACAAGAAGTTGTGTCCGAGGAGAAACCAGCCGAAGAAGTGCCAGCTGTGGTTGAAGAGATTGCTCCGATCACCGAAGAGAAGCCAGCTGAGGAACCAGTTGCTGATGAGGCTGCTCCAGTTGCTGAAGAGACTGTCCTCGAGCAAGTGATTGCTGCGGTCGAACAAGTTCTCGAGCAACAACAAGAAGTTGTGTCCGAGGAGAAACCAGCCGAAGAAGTGCCAGCTGTGGTTGAAGAGATTGCTCCGATCACCGAAGAGAAGCCAGCTGAGGAACCAGTTGCTGATGAGGCTGCTCCAGTTGCTGAAGAGACTGTCCTCGAGCAAGTGATTGCCGCGGTCGAACAAGTTCTCGAGCAACAACAAGAAGTTGTGTCCGAGGAGAAACCAGCCGAAGAAGTGCCAGCTGTGGTTGAAGAGATTGCTCCGATCACCGAAGAGAAGCCAGCTGAGGAACCAGTTGCTGATGAGGCTGCTCCAGTTGCTGAAGAGACTGTCCTCGAGCAAGTGATTGCCGCGGTCGAACAAGTTCTCGAGCAACAACAAGAAGTTGTGTCCGAGGAGAAACCAGCCGAAGAAGTGCCAGCTGTGGTTGAAGAGATTGCTCCGATCACCGAAGAGAAGCCAGCTGAGGAACCAGTTGCTGATGAGGCTGCTCCAGTTGCTGAAGAGACTGTCCTCGAGCAAGTGATTGCCGCGGTCGAACAAGCTCTCGAGCAACAACAAGAAGTTGTGTCCGAGGAGAAACCAGCCGAAGAAGGGCCTGCTGTGGTTGAAGAGAGAGAGAAGCCAGCTGAGGAACCAGTTGCTGATTTCGTTCGCTCTGTGCGATCAATTGAGATGAAGGAACCTGTACAGCCTAGCAAGGATAAACAAGACTATGAAGGATGGCTTCCACAAGTGACGGAGCTTGGTCTGGTCGAGTCGTTCTCGTCAAACAGATCTTTGACGCCAGTCCTTCCTTTAGTGAAAACCGCTGCTTCAAGTAGTGTCACGACGAGCTTTGTCCCCACGAAAAACGTCAGCACCTCATGTTCATTCACAATTGGTTCTCCAAATATAAAGCCTGCCTCAAGAGTTAAGGAAGTCACAGTCGCTTGGAAGCCGACAAAGTCGATTCATTCTGACGAACCAGCCGTTCAGGAGGGGTCAGAATACGGTCGTGGATCATTCAAAGGTGATTTTAAACAAATGCTAATAATATTTTTATTTTGGTTTTAGTCAAACGTGACGCAGCATTCACAACTCGCACCGGCAAGCCTTGGCCAAAGAGATGTCGTTGTATCGGTAAGAAAAAAATGTGACTTGGAGACTGTAACATGTTCTGTAACAGTCACAAAAAAATACTGTGACATCAGCCAACTTGAGATTCGGGCAAAGCGGATTTATAAAGACCAAATCATGAAGTTCTGAGTTGTTTACAGTAACCGGTTATGAGGCTGGGCTACACTATCCTGGTTCAATCCAATTAGGATCTTGTTACAACAATCACTTTTCAGTGATGGACGTGATCCTGATGGCCGGCGAGCACAGAGCCGGGGCCACCGTTCGCATCGCACCTCGGAAATACTACAACAAAGAATAATTCAATAAGTTGAATTCATTTCCAAAAGCTTCTTTCATTTTTAAATTTGCTCAAAATGTCTCTTGACTTATTTGAAAACCCCAGTGCTTTGTACCTAGCTATGTTTATTGTATGTAGTTTCGAATTGTAGCCGCTTTTAGGAACACTTCGTCGACCCATTAGTCGCCTTACCCGTTTCTCTATGTGCTGCGCAAAATCGCAAATATTCTTTCAAACGTTGCCGCCGATTTTTTTTTGTCATATTCCGAACGATCCCCAGCTCTCAAAATGTCAATTTTGCCTTATTCGCTCGATTTTCGAATGCTCGTGCTGTTTTTTTGTTTTTGGATTTGGGAGTGTTCGCTTAAGTAGCTGTTTGACTGTACTGTATTTGCTAACAATAAGTACGGACTTATACTTGCTTACGAACCAATACGTGATCAGTGAAATTGAGGAGTCATAGTAATACAAATCGCCCAATTGTAGCGCTATCAGCTCCAAGAATTCCATTCCGACAGCAACGCCCGGCTGTCATTGTGGAGATCGATCTACGACGATTTCTCTGAACTTCAATGTCTATCACAGTATCGCCCAACTGCTTGGTAGCATAAAGCTGAATTAGGGAAACGTTCAAACTCTAAGTCATCAACTTTCTTGTCACACAGTATCGCCCAACTGGTGGCCAGAACTGGTTTTGATTCAAGTTTGCTTACCGTAAAAGTTCGTCAAATTTGTCGCATTCTCCCAAATCCATTAATTTTGCCCGCTTCTACTCTCTGTCTCTTTTCATTTGTTGTTTCTTTGACCATTTTCTATTTTCATCGGTTATTTGTATTCTTACAAAGCCAAACCCAATTCTAGTCCCAATCTCGTACTTGGCCTTTCCCACAAGTACGCGGACATCGTCCTGGTCGTGTGCCACCAAATAAGTGAAGAAAAAGTGGGCTCATTTTTAGCGCTGTGTAGCCGAGTGGTTAGAGTTTCAGCCTCTAGCTCGAAAGCTTACTGATCCAATTCTAGAGCCCACTGTTTCTTTTTAAATTCTTTCCTGGGCACACCCACGCGTTGTTCGAGCATTCCCCTAACTTTTTGTCTTGAAATTTCGAGTTTTGTTTTGTTATGATTGTTTTCGTTGAGCTACGGATTACTGTATTTTGGATATTTCTAGTGCCTGACGATTCGATTTTCATTGTGTGATTGCTTTCCCCCCGGCGGCAATGTGCTTTTTGAAATGTAATTGAATGTAAATAGAGAATTCGATAAAGATTATACATAAATGAAAATGAAAATGTACACAGGAAGTAAAATTTCACAAAAATTGCTAATCAGATGGAAATGGAACAGATAGGTTCAATTACCCAAGTTTGAGAGGTTGTTGCGAGATACTGAAACTCTGCTTCTACATCTACCGATCTGAAGAGCCTCGAGAAGTACGCTGATGAGGAATCTCGTACGCTATCCATACCACCCACTTCCGCCAAATGGAACAATGAAGATGCGCCCGCTCTTCGAGAATGTTGATCTCGCGAAGAAACTCGGAAACGACTACCACCTGGTGATTGAGGGATTGCCTGAAGCTGACGTCCATCCCGCCATGTCGTATACTATAAGAGCAGCGGATCGTCACCTTTTGGCTGTGATTTTGGCTTCGTATGGCCTGGATGCAATGGTGGTTCAATCATATAGGATGGGCATCTTCTCTCCTTTTCAACCTAGACCTCTGAAGATGATTTTTGCCTCTACGCACGGTGTGTCGAACTTACTGGGCTCCTTTTATCGTGTTAGGAAGAATTCTCTGTCCTGGTACGCTCGGGTCATTGTGATTCAACGCTCGGACCGAAGTCGCTACAGGAACCAAAGGCAGGAGATATTTCCTCCAACTCAAAATGGCCCCCTTCCACGCCTCGACGTGAATACTACAAGGAGTGTGCCTCAGGACCAGGTTGGAGCCCTGCATGTGGCTGGTGTCAATGTGAGTGCTTTTGAAACGACTGTTGACATGGCTGCGCAAAAGGATTCGACAAGGGAAAGTGTGCCGACAGTCTCTACAAAAAAGCCTCCAGCCAAGAAGGGCCGACCTTCAAAGAGGATCAACTCTACGAAGATTGACTCGCCTGGATGCGCTTTCGCAAAGCACACTCCTTGTCGGATGTGAACGAAACATTAGCAAAAAAGTTTCTAGATGAAAGGAAAAACGATGAGAAGCCTTCTTTACTCACCCATCGCAACGGAAGCTTGGAAAGAAATTCATCAAGCAACAAAGTCAGTCAACCAGTCTCGCAGTCTACACAGAAGGAATTTCGCGAACCATTTTCCCAAGATATCGTAACGCAAAAATAAAGTTCCTGAAATTAAACAAATTTTAAAAAAACACAACTTAACTTACTGGGTTGTTGGTTTTAGCTGGTGATCCTTTGATGCCGCTTACTTTAATTTGACGTCGAGCAAGTTGGCGTATTGCTGGACGGTTGATAAGAGCCATTTGAGAAACCTAGAAAACAAAAGGTAGAGCTAATACATTTTAAAGATTTGCTAGATGATTAAAGCTTCTAACAGTGAAAGCTTGAACTTAATCCATATTTTGGGGGTAAAGAACGAGATACTTTTGAAAAAAAGGAGCAGCGCGAGAAGGTATTACCTACGCGCTTACTTTTGTGGCCTGTAAAAAGCAGGATCGACCTAGAGAAACAAATTTTCATGATTTAGTTCCTAAGGGTGTCTACTTATTATGTTCATAGGCCATTTTTGTCTAGGCGCATTATCTAGAGAGTTTGAGGTCAAAATGTAAGGACGGGTTGTTTCTGTCCAATGGGTAAAGCTTAAAAACAAAACACCTTACCTGATTAGGCGTTGTTGATCCTGTGAGGCGTCTCGTTTGTCGATTCCGGTGACCGATCCTCCGCAACTTCCTCTCGGACGACTTCCTATAACAAAGCATTAAATAAAATCAAGAAATAAAAAAGAAAAACGAACGAAACAAACAAAAAATCCTACATTTTCGGGTCAAATTCGCTACAAATCTAGTTTTAAAGGACAATTTAAGCATTTGTCAACCGCCGGTTTGTTTATTTAGGTGTATTAAAGTGTTTTCTACTTGAAAAAACAAGAAACTTATCAAAACAGAAGAAAAATATAAGAAACCGGGGTAAAACTAAACGTAACTCGAAAAAAAATAAAATTTTTGCTTTTGGCGTTGTTTGTACATGGGGGAACATGAAGCTTGCGCCGCCTATGTCAATCGCGAATTTTGCGAAACTTATGCCATTAAACAAAGCGAAACTTCCGCCGCGAAAGTCAAAAGTGAAGTTTGCATCATTTTGTTTTAACATTTAGGATTTTTATATCTCGTATCACTTGTTTTTCATGTTCGCTCGCTTCTTCACCATATTTCATACATGCTAAGGGGAGTGGGACAAGTGCGGCCTTTTCTTGGCACACCCGCACCTTTTTTTCGCGTTTTAAAAAAGCTCTAAAAAGCTAATATTAATCAATTTCTTTTCCAAAAGTTGTTTTTCGGATTAATTTTAGGGCGCAGAATCCAACTTTTGACATATCAGAACCAATTTGAGAGATAAAACGGGTAGGTCAAGTTACAGAAAATTGTCGATTTTTCCCTATGTATAACTGCGTCCGTTTGCCTCCACAAGCTCTGATATGTAAAAATTTGGATTTTACATCCTAAAATTACCCACAAAAACAACTTTTGGAAAAGAAATTGATTATTATTAGCTTTTTACAGCTTTTTAAAACGCAAAACACCGTACGTAAATGTCCCGGGTGCGCAAAAAAGGCGCGCAAAAAAAGGTCGCATTTGTCTCACTCCCTTGCTTATTAATCTATCTTAAAACGTTTTACCTTTGTTTATCGTTTAAATTTAAGAAAGTTATACTAATCGCTTAAATTTAGCAATGAATCAACCGGCCTCATCAAGCGTCACATCAACTTGCATTCATCAACATCAACTTGTTTGACGAAAGATGAGAACACAATGGACAGTGAGGACTCAAATAGGAACTTGGACCGTATTGGCGACAATTTGATCGAATCTATCGAAGAAAACAAAGCTCTTTTAAAACCGAGAAGTGCAACCAGGATGAATGAAATGGTGAGTTGCGCGAGGAGATTTTGTGGCTTGCTACTGGCTTGTTTGTTGTTAAAGAAGTTTAGTGCAAAATCTACAAGATTAATTTGAAATCAGCTGTACCTATTTTGCACTAAACTTGTTGGCAAGCACATTTACGTACGGTTTTAAAGTTTGAGCACAAGCTGGTAGCTACATAACATTGGAAAAGCTTAACAATAAGTTCAGTGAGACATCTAACTTTGTAGTGAAAAACTTGAATCCGCTTATAGGAAAAGTTGATTACTTCTAAACTTTTGTGATATGAAATTGTTTGTCTTGCTTTGCAATCAAAATTGAGACTAACCTTTATGTATTCACCGATTTTATAAAACCAATTCATGTCTCCTTTTACAGGTCTCCCATCATCAAACTGCAATTTTGTCTGCCGTTTCGTGAAAGAACTTATCAGACCTAAACGCCTTGTTCACGGAGTAAAGGTATTCAATAAGTAGCCAATATGGTCACTTAAATTTTCTTTAGCTTTCTTCTAAGATGGATGACGAGTGAAGGACTGCAATTCGGTTGCGCGGAAAGGTTGCGTGCATTTTGATTTTAATCCCGACCAAGCGGCTCTTTCTGCTCTAGGATAAATTCTATAGATGATGACTATAATTTTCTGTGTTCTAAAACCCTCTTTGCCATCGAAAACTCCTGCTCTCACCCTGTAAAATTAGCCCCAAATCATATTACGAGAAGCAAGACTGCTGCATTTTTTGAAAGATCTAGCTACGCAAGTTGTCGGGTTGATCCACTAGTAATCAAAGAACAGTGTAAGCTCTTGAAATTTTGTCAAAAGTTTGAGTCAAACATTTAAAGGAAAGCTGTTTATTTGAAAAACAGCAAGTCTTTCTTTTTCTATTTAAACTCTAAAACAAAAGATCCAAAGATAGTCTGCAATTCTTTCGTTGATCCCTTAGACAGTACTATTATTTCCAAGCCCAGTACAATCGTCACTGAGTTTGCCAAATTCTTTCATAGTGTATATACGGTTACAGATAAAAACGAACAGTGCCCCGGCCTTTCCGGTAAAGCAAATTGACGTGCAGCCAGATTTCTTAATATGTGTAGCGGACATTGAGAGAGCTTTTTCTAAATTACGGCCTAAAAAATCGTCTGGTCCAGATAACCTCTCAGCTTTTGCTATTAAGAGACTTTCTAGAGTGCTTACCTACCCTCTTTTAAAACTTTTCAACAAAATTCTTCTCATTTCAGATGTCCCCTCTTTTTGGAAACAATCTTTAGTTATTCCCCTTCTCAAAAATCTCCTAAAAACCTTTTCAGTAATTATCGTCCCATCTCTTTAACCTCCCTTGTATCCAAACTTTTTGAAATTATTATCAAAGATAAAATTACAGCTCATCTTGATAAGCATGAACTTATCTCCGACTATCAATTTGGTTTCCTTAAAAATAAGTCCACCACTTACCAGCTTATTTTAGCTTACCAAGATTTCTTTAAGATCAAAAACAACGCAAGCACTATCAACTTGAAGCTGTGTTTTTAGGTTTTGCTAAAGCTTTCGACTCTGTCCCTATTAAATTCTTAATTCACAAACTACATGCGTATAAAATCTGCCCCTCGATGATTTCAGTTATTGAAAGTTTCCTTACTCAGCGAACTTTCAAAGTTCTTCTAAACGATTCTCTCTCTCCTTCCTTTAATTGCTCTAGCGGTGTACCCCAAGGAAGTATTCTGGGTCCTATACTTTTTACAATTTACATTAATGATTTAGCTGAATTAAATTTTTCATCTAGGGACTCATCTAACTGGCTTTATGCTGATGACGCTAAACTAACCTTTCAAACCCATCAAAGATGAAGCCGCTAAGCTTGCTTCTTTAAGAGACGCCATGTCAGATCTTGGTCTGGTTGAAAAATGGTCCCATAATTGGAACTAGCTTTAGGATCCACGAAATCCCATCATTTCTCCACCGGGAATGCTATTTTCCCCTTGAAAATTAATTCTACACCATTAAACAGGATTGGCAAAGAGGATTATATTAGAGATCTTGGAGTCCATATTTCCCCACCTTTAAATTTCTCAAAACACATTGAAATTATATGCCGTAAAGCTTCTAGTCGTATCCTAAAAGCAATTTGTTATCCGAAAATTGACACTTATAGAAAATGTTTCATCACTTACGTTAGACCCATTCTAGAGTATGTAAATATAGTTTAGTCTCCACATACACAAGTTGATATCTCTAGTCTAGAAAAAAATCCAGCAGAGATATACTAAGATAGCTCTATGTAAAATAGACTTTTCCAAATTTACAAACTTTAGTTACACAGATCGACTCAAAATTTTTTGATCTTAAATCTCTTAGACACCGCCGCTTGGTCACGGATTCAATAACGAATAAAGGCCAGGTAACCTATCCCGCTTTTTCAAGATCTATTCAAAGTTAATCCCACGGCTAATTCAAGGAGAGGTTCTTTTGTTTTAGAAATTCAAATCACCTTAAATGATTTTGTGAAGAATTCTTTTCCAATAAGAACTGCCAGAATTTGGAATCTACTCCCCAGAGTTTTGAGAGAGTCTAATAGTCTTGAAGCTTTGAAATTATCTATAGATGATATTGGTCTTACAGCTCTAGTTGACTCTTGACTTTATCTGTCTCAATTATTACATACATTATATTATATCATGTGGCTTTCTATCGGTGCTTTTTGTGTTTATGTGTATGAATTCATGTGTATTAATCTTTGCACACTTTATCTCATGTCCTGAATAAAGTATCTGTGTAGAAATAAACTCATTTTTTGACGGATTCTCTTTGAAACTCTGCCTCCTTACTGGAATTTTAGACTTTTAGATAACGGTAACGCATATATTCTTATCAATATTATGTATCTGGTTCAATACCACATAAGAATTTATAATTAGTTTAACATTTCAGAAAGATAAGAACTTAAAGGCTCTTCCTTTTGCTAAAGAGAAAGATAAGTCGAAAGTCGATAGTTTTAACAGCAAAATTAACAAACTAACAATCAAAATTATTACCGTAAATACTGTAATAGAATCCCACCCGAATCGGGCTAATATTTTTTTCCTTTTTTTTGCAAATTCACTTTTAAAGTCTTTCAAACACTTTAACTTTTAACTTGTTAAAACTTGTTTAAAACTAGAAGGTGATTATTTTTTTTGGACAAAACAAAGGAAGCGAAAATTCTCAAGTTATACAAAAACACAACTACCAACTACCTAAGTAATAGATTTTTTCATCTATTACTTTCACCTGCTTGACAACTCAAGTGTCAGAAAATTGAACTACTGTAAAAAGAAGGGTCTTTTAGGTTCATGAGATCATTTTCAACATTTACTCATTTCCACGACTTTTCATAGAGTTCAAAGTAGAGTCGAGCGTGTTCCCGACTCTCGACATTGTCCACAAAAATCTTCCTTTTTCGACGAATCTCGATGAAAAAGAATATTCGCTGGATGATTCTAATGTAATCATCTCTCCATGATTCAACGAGGAAAAGTATGCATAAGAGATACGATTCTTGATACCTGGAAAGGTGATTTGTGAAAGATGACAGGTTTTTTAGATTGGGCTAAGGTAGCCTGGTACTGGATTACGCTAACTTGACAGTTCTGAATGTACAAGTTAGTTCAGTACTGTACTTGAAAGTACAAGTTAGTCCTGGAAGAAAACAGTACAGAATCCCATTTGATTCATAGGCAACAACAATTCTTTAACATATTTAGTCTTTTCTCTCAAGAACTTTTTAATTACTCTATCAATAGTTCATTGAATGACTCACATCACTGGTGAAATATTGAAAAGAGTGAAGAGAATTTGCGCTAAATCTCCATTCTCATTTGAGCAACAAATAGCCACCGCACCGAGCAGCGAAATTAGACCCGTACCAATGAAACTGATCAACATGAGACCACGTAAGAGCTGAAAGAACTGAAACTAAAAAATATTCAACTTCACTCACCAATAGCACTTGAATATTCTCTGATAATTGAAATCGTCGACTGAGATAGTGTGCGGAAAGAATTCGATGCGGGATTGTACTCGTCATTTCTTCTAGTTTTTGTCGATTCCATTTCAGCATGATAGCTAATGACTAGAAATTGGGATTTATAAACTGAAGTTCTTTTGATTCACTAATTTTTGATTGCTCGACGTAACTTTAACATTGTACTTCTTTATTTTACATTTACATTTATCAACCAACCACACAAGCGAACCCGGCGAAAATCACTACAGCCGGCAATGCGAGAGCGGCAATGAGAAAAATTCGACGATAGAAATCTAGAGTGGTTTTGTTTTTTTTTCCTTTTCCTAAGGCAATTTTCATTTCACTCACTCAACAAAACCATATACGCTGAAACAGCGGCGATGCCCATTTTGATAATCGATATTGTGAGCGGGATCCATCGTCGTGTCTCGTGCTCATACCCTTCAATGTATTTGACGGCAAAGAGACGCTCGATGATCACAGCTACAGGGAACATTGATAGACTGGAAATTCTCGTATTTTGATCGGTGTAAAGAGTATTGATGTGTTGCATGATCCAAGTAAAATTTACCCTCAAAAAGCAGTATTTTTCGAAGATTGCTTAAACTAGATCAGCCTAATTTTTGTATCATTCGATGGGAAAAAGCTCAGTCGATGATAGAAAAATTGAGCTGATTTGTATGAAAACTGACTGGTTAATTACGGTAGTTTGCCAAAATAGGACCAGGTTACAGACTGTTTACAAGACAACTTAACCTATAATTTCAATCGCAACCTTCACATTTTCTTTCTTTTCTTCACATTTTTCAAGAATTTTTTGTCCTCATTTGAAATTTTCACAAACAGTAATTAGTTTTGTTAATTGCAGATAAGTGAAATTCTCAAAAGGGAGCTTTTTACAATGTCAAAGATCAACATTTGAACATTCGTTGATTAAATAACTTGATTCTAGGTTTATTGTTGAAATTTTAATGGTTAAATATTAAATTGTTAAAATTAAATTATTAAACTTAATCTATCTAAGAATTAAACAATTAAATTAGCTAGTGATTTGCTTTTTTGGCCCTCACCTGAACAACGAGTGTAGCCAGAGAAATGAGCCGATAATGAGCGGCAAATCGAATTGCGGCTTTCCTGAAACTATTCCTGAAATCATTTCCTCAATTCTAGACCTGTAATCGTCAAAAAGCCAATCTGATAACTTAATAGTAAAAGTCGACCGAATAAATACTGATAAAAGTGAAGGATCATATCAGCAAAAAGAAGCGACAAATTCGCGTGGAAACGTCTCGATTTGCGGAGGATTATGAGAAAAATGAAAGAAGCGATCGAAAGGGTCGAGATGAGAAATAATTCGAAATAGTTGACAGCTTCGTAGACGAATGAAATAGGGTTTTCCTAAATGGTGACCTGGTAAAGTCACTGTAATATATTTTTTCCTACAATTAGTACATTGATCTGGAATATGTAGCTTTGGTTAGCTTTAGCTAATCTTTAGCTTTGATTAAAGAATTTCGCATTCTGTATTGGCTTACTGTAGTGATAGACTCACTCAAATCTTTCTCCCTCATCTTATGCTTTTTAAAACGTGTCCAACTACTGTACTCTTGCCTCTATTTTTTATTCAATCTATTCATTTTTTTGTATCTTTTGATATTTTTTTTGAACCTTCACAAAATCCGACCAAAAAGTGATAGATTGGATCAAAATAAAGCCAAAATTACGGTAGAAAGAGGAAAGGGACACGTTTTAGGCTTTGTCTGACTGATAAATCACTTCACTACACTAGATAATGAAAGTTTACATCAAAATTGTCGAATCTTTTTTTAAGAAACTATATTTTTCAAGCAACTCACTGATGAATAAGTGCAATTGCCAAAAATCGGAACAAACACGCGATTGAGGCGACCCGCGTTGGTGTAGTTATAAAAGTTCATCGTGCACCAAACTAGAGGAAGTTTCTTGAATCAATAATATCTACTTTGTGAATGTGGAAAGGTTAAAACAATATCTATATTCCATTAGCCGGAACGGAAAGCACCTGTTGAGAGGCGGTGCCTGAGCCGGCAAAGGAGCCGCCTTTCTGAGAAAAAACACACAGGGTAACCAAGCTAAATTGACGTGTTTGAGACAAAAAAAATTCATAAAAACAAGTGTCTTGTAAAGAATTCTGTTTAAATAGTGCTCTCTTGACGTTCACTTTTTCAAGTACAGTACCATACCACATACAGCACTTTTTTAAAAAGTGGATAATTTAGTGAAAGTTAAAGCAAATCAAATCAGTGTCCAAGAAAAACGAAAAAAGATTTGAATGAAAATTCAGTGCTTCCTAAAGTGCGCCCTTTCCCTTTGTCTAGCTTTTCGTCGGATTTGCTATAGTAACCATAAAGGTATAAAAGAATGAAATTCTGCCGGCAAATCATTTTTTTTTTCGCAACATTGCCTTTGGGGAGTCGGACAAATGCGACCTTTTTTACGCACCCTGGACATTTGCGCACGGTTTTTTGCGTTTTAAAAGGCTAATATTAATCAATTTCTTTTCCAAAAGTTGTTTTTCTGGATAATCTTAGGTCGTAGAATCTGAATTTTGACATAACAGAGCTTGTGGAAGCAAACTGGCGGAGTTATATATAGGGAAAAATCGACAATTTTCTGTGACTTGACCTATCCGTTTTATCTTTCAAATTGGTCCCACAAGCTATGATATGTAAAAATTTGGATTCTACGGCCTAAAATTATCCAGAAAAACAAGTTTTGGAATGAAAATTGGTTAATATTAGCTTTTTAGAGCTTTTTAAAACGCAAAACACCGTGCGCAAATGTCCCGGATGCGCAGAAAAAGGGCGTATTTGTCCGACACCCGTCATTTGCTTTTTTAACGTCATCTTGCCGTTGTAAAATTTTGTAAAGCCTTGTAAAATTTAAAAATCGGGAGTGCAATAGCGCTTTTAAACTTTAACGTGTATCAGGGGTAGATTTATAGGAAAAGTTGTTGATAATTGACAAATTTTGATTTAAAAACATTATGGTTTTTAAATCAAAATTGTTGTTTTAAAGCTTAAGAGGTACACAAGCGATCCCTAGACCATTCATTTTGTAACTGTTTGTTAGGTTCTTTTACGGCAAATTTTCATGTATCTTTGTTTCTTTTAAAATTCTTCGTTATCTTTCATTAAACTGATTCATTTTAGGTAACATGCCTTGCGGAAGCGCTTTTGCGCTACTCTCGGCGAGGAACCGGAAACAACACAAAACTGGACGTCCACCAGCAACATCAAAAGCGACACCTGAGCAACGCCGAAACGCAAGCAAAGGCAAAGAAACACCAAAGAAGACAACAACAACAAGCGAGCAAAGTGCAATTGGGGTCGTTCATGCTGCTAGAAAACACCGTGAGAAGGGAGCGGCTCTTGTCTTCCTAATTTGTGGAGGGTCTAACGCTGGGAAAACAACAACTGCCAAGAAACTTGTCAGCATGGTAAGGTTTTTGGCAATACTTGTTCTTGTTAAACATGTTTAATGCTTGCGCTGAAGGTTATTAAAAGTAAAAGAGAGCAAGTTTTTTTGGCTAACTTGCAGCTCATTTTTAAGAACTTTTCAGAACAGGAAATTTTAATAAGATTTAGATAGTTTAGAACGTCAGCTTTCAGAAACTATTTATTTTATCAGAAGTTATTGACAAAAACCTATCTAAAATCGGACTGGAAGTTGCCCAAAAAATCCTCCTACCCCCGTTATCCGTAAAGAACCAGATTTGTTTTAATGACAGAGTTAAATTTTTTTTTTAGTTACAAGCAGAGGGTGCAACGGCGATCTTGATAAAACAGGACAGTTATTATCTACCACCTGACAAGGTTTTCACTGTGTTTTATTACGTTTCAAGCTTTTGTTCAGGTTGAATATATCAGAAGTCAAGCGGGGAATCTAACGTACTACAACTACGATTCAATCACTGCAATCAATATACCTCTGCTCATAAATGTGAGGCAACCTTGCGAACTTTAATTATTTTTTGTATTCAGGCTGTCATTGATGCTACTCATCAAGGTTTGTTCAAAAATAGAGCACAACTTTGTAAAGATATATTGTATCGTTTGATCTTTACTTTACGATAATTTTCAAGCGTCGTATGTTGTTGTGGAAGGAGGATTTCTAACCGAAGAGCCAGAAATGATGCAATTAATGGATCGACTGCTGTTTTTGACGATCGACCAAAAAACCTGCCGTCGGCGCCGTTTGATGAAGGAATACGACCCACCCGATCAGGAAGGATATTTTGATGAGGTGTGTTTATTGTTATTGGTTGATGTGGTTAGTGATAAGATGCATTGCAAAAAGCATATTGACTAGACTAGCCATAAAATATGTTCAATGTAAATAACAGCTTTCTATTTAGCTTGTGTGGCCCTCCTATGTTCGCATACAACGGAATGCAATGAAGGTTGCACGGTCTGATAAACGCTACGTTTTCATTGACATGAGCTCGAACTCGGATGTCACTTGCCCGGAAAGCATTGTGGATGTAAGTAAACTTATTGAAAGAATGAATTTTAAAGGTTTTAATGTTTACTTTAGCTACTTCAATCGTTTCACGATGATTTGATTCGCATAACATTTGACCGGCTTGATGTTGAAGAGGCATTCAACTTGGTTAGATCAGCAGCTTGTGGAGCGACATCAGTCTTTCTGGGGACAACAAGGTAAACTTTGAGGATATCAAGGTCTTGTAAGGAATGAAATTGCATAGGCTTACAATATACGAAACTACATTAAAAGCTTAAGCAACTGGTCGGATACGGTTTTTAATGCATTTAAAACTTTTTTTCTTTAGAGACAACTTCAATGGGAAAGAAGTCAGTAGACTGGACTATGAAAGCTACGACGAAATGGCATACAAGGTTTCAGTTTCATATCATTTTGTATAAGCTTCATGTTTAGGAAATGAGGCAGCTTTGCGCAGAAGTTCGTCGAAAGTTCCCAACCATTGAAAGGATTGTATTTTGGCATCGTGTCGGTGAGGTCCCGGTAGAAGAAACGTCTGTGATTGTTGCCGCGGCTAGCCCACATCGAGAAGAGGTCTGGCATCGTTTATCGTTATTTTATATTGACAAATGTCAGGCCATACAAGCTGTCGAAATGGGAATCAACGAAATCAAGAGGCGCGTGACCATTTGGAAAAAGGTATATTGTGTATTTATGTGTATTTATTAACTTTATTTGTAGGAAGTCTACACAGATGGTGGATGCGTTTGGAAAGAAAATGGTGAATGGCGCACGATGAAGGAGCCTCAAGAACCATCAACCACAGAAGAACGCTCCTTTGCTGTGGCCAGTCGGACTCGTCATCATTGTCCAAAGGTAGCATTCTGGTTCTTAAACATAGGCAAAAGTATTAATTAATGACAACGCCAACTTATTCGAATCTAGATCTAACTCATTTTTTAGCTATTATGGTTGCAACAATTGACAACACCTGTTAACAAGATGGAAAGTCAACTACCGAACAGAAAAGAGACTTTACCCTAGCAAGATCTAGCATTCAAGAAATCACGTAATTCTCGATATTTGTTCCAGTATCCCAATCCTCTATGCTTGTTTATTTTGTGTCTCTTGTGAAATGATTCCCAAAAGTTTAATTAAATTTAGAAAGCCTTTATCGTGTCTTTTGTGTTAGCTCAATAGTTTTGCTAATGCTTGAGAAATGAGCGCCTTCCAACAAAACCCAATCCTTTTGGCTTGGTGACTACGTCTTTCACAGCACCCAAGGCGCTTTCTTCCTCAAGTCATTAAATTAATTTTTTGTTTTTCATTACCAATTTTGTTGTGATTAGCTTACTTATTTTTTTACTTGGACGCGTGAACGTTCTTATTGCATCGAAATGGGTCGACATTAAAAACTGTTTTTTGAATGTAGAATGGAATCGATTGTTAAGAGAAGGTCGGCCTTTACAATTTTTGTTCAGAAACGATTAGTCATTTTCATGGAGTTGGGCGTAGGTTGCAAATCGGCTTAGGCTTATTTTTGATAAGCTTATTTGACTTTGGGATGAGATTTTTGAAACAATGCTTGTTGATTATTCATGTAGAGACGCTACGGATAAGTCAAGAAATGCTAAGAGGATTTTAAAATGAAGGCCATTGTATTTGAAAAGAGTTCAATGGGTGTAAAAGAGGGCATTTATCCCTGAAATAACGAGGGAAAGTACAACTGTCGTGTTGTGCAACTGGTCGATGAAATGTAGGAAACATCTTTCAAAAACTTGGCGATTGATGAAAATAACGATGATTATTCCATTTCCAAATGGGTTTTAATCTTCTGAAATAGTCAACACTGTTTTTAAATACCGCAGACTGTTTTAATTGACTTTCTTCTAATCGTCGACTCTCCTTACGTTTACAGCTAAAAACTGAATAATAGAATAAAAAGCTGGAAGCTGGAATAATAGAATAAAAATATCAAACACTTGCAAAATGAAAAGCATTTTAGAACTATGTGTAAATATTTCCAATCAATGTAGCTGATTAGGTAAGGCAAATGCAAAAAAGACACTCACAGCCGGGTCAAAGTATCAAGATCTGCCAAAAATTCATTTCCTAATGACTCAGTGGATCAACCGGATGCAAATGACGCTATTAATTTTGTTTTCTTGTTAGTGTAGCGATTCTTGGGCCAATGTGAATCATTCCCCAATTTGGCTCCTATCTTTTAGAGATGATCAGCTTATAAGCGAAATGAAGTGATAAAAAGCACTAGCTGCTTGGACCCCTTTTCATTTTGGTTTGCTAGTTTTTTCCGGGGAATTTCTCGCTTATTCATTTCGACTTAACGATTAAATCGCTGAAATCGAATTCTCGAGCTTTTAAACCGTTGGTTGCAGGAGAAATTTCCGCATTTTCCATTTTGAGTCTACATTTTGTGCGGGGCAATGGCCAGATCCTTTGATTTGGTCAAGGTGGGTTTTTGTTTTGAAAATTTTTGAAAAAACATAAAACATAATCGTTTATCTTCAGGTGATCTTGGCCGGTGTGTCGGCCTTTCTTCTCCTCTTGACACTCATCTTTATCATCTTGTTTGCGACGAAATCAAGTTGGTGTTTTGTGTGAAAAGTGATCTCACATTGCAAGAACAATAGTTGCACTACGTAGCTAAAAAAAGGAAATCCGTACACACATCGAATACACATCAAATTTCTAGCGAAAGCCACCGGTTTCCTCGTCTCGTTCGCTTCTGATGCTGACTCGTCCGCGGCAAGTAAAGCGGTATTGAAATTTTAAAGTTTAATAAACTACAGTAAGCTTTAGATTGAGAAAGCTTTCAAGGATGCCAAGTACACGGTTCGAAATGTGAAAGTGCAAGAGTGAGTTGAATCTAGAAGTCTAGTTTCAAAATTGTGAACTCAGCTGAAAGTTAGACTGATGAGATTAAGAAAAATGACTCACTGAGTAAGTAATCCGTACAGTCACCCCAAATTCTCTTTGCAGAGCCGGCGATGGAACGTGGAAGGGTGTGGTTGTTGTGAAAGGAGATCAAAAAGTCGATGATGTGAGCAAAAAAGTGAAGCCGGACGCGAGTGGATATTCGGGATTGCAGATTAGAGGTGAGCTTTGAAATTGGGAACAATTTTGATAACTCTATCAATTAGAACGAAACCTTTTTCACCTGGGAAAAAGATAGGCAAGGTTACGGTAGTCGGAGAAAGTGGGCACGTTTTAGCAAACGATTTAGTCCATAGGAAAACAAGATAAACAGAATTTGGTACATTAGGTGGAACTCGTGACTCTTACGCTGCCCATTTTGTATTTGAAATAACAATTTTCATTTTAAAAGGAGCAATTTAAGAGTTATAATTGAGCTCTAGCGAACTTGTGACTCTTATGTCACCCATTTTGAATCTCATTTTGCAAACCACCTTTTAAGACGTAAGACGTCCTTTCAAGTAAGACTCATTTTCTATTGATTCTTGGTGATAAAATCTTTAAAAGAAATGAAAATTGCCTCGGAAATGATATTAGACAAAGTGGTCAACTTTAAATGCAAATTAGACTGGGCAAAGTGCGCAAAAAGACACAAGAAACTAGTAGCTAGTAGTCAAATCACACGCTAGCTTAATATCATACTCTTTCTTCTCATCATTCATGAACTTCAGATGGTAGCAAAGCATTGGATATCTGTGCCCCTCCCCCACCAGCAGCAACCACCTCCGAGAAACCTCAATCCACACCAAGCACTACAGCAGCTGTGCCAACTAGTGAGGAACTTTTGATTTGAGTTACATATACTAACACTTGTGCTTTTTATGAGGCAAAGTTCAAGGCCTTGCATTTGACAATAAGGATTTGTCTTTGATTTGGTCTGACTTCGATCGCCGACGCTTTTAGAAACAAGCCTGACTGGCTTGACTTGACTCTTAAAATTCTAAATTTCATTCACAGCTTGGTGCTCGGACAACAACGGGGCAAGAGATTACGTCTTTTTGATTGACGTAATTCCATCGGAGCATTTGGGCAATGGAGAAACGAGGAAATTGGATGTACTCGGAGACAGGCTTGATGAAGTGATTAAAGGGATTCCCAGCAATGCTAGGTATTATCAAAACTGTAATTTAGAAAACCCATGGATTAGGTTGAATTTATTAGAGAAATTGTTTAGATACGCTTTTATGACAATCGACGGCGATGATGAGGATAATCCGGCTATCACTCAACTCACAAACGACGTCAAAGCGCTGAGGCAAGGAAGAGATGAGGTAAGTGGACTTAAAAACCTTTTATCAAAGCATAAGATTTTTAAATTATCAACTTACTGTACTATTAGGTTGAGGAAAAAGTAATGTCGGTTTTTGTCACAAAACTGTTTATTGCTAAAAACATAAACAAACGCACATCAATCAATGAGATATTCTCAATTATTATTGATGACTTGTTCGCATCTTCGTCGCAAATCCCTGATCCCATCCTCCAAAAAATGGGGAGTTCTCGAGCCAGAATAAGTGTCGACTGCTTTTTTTTGATTTGTGCATGATTCTCGAACTTCCCTCCCATAAGAAAACTCTTCAACGACCGAAACAAAAAATAATCTGATGGGACCAGGCCCGGACTATAAGGTGCGTGGGGTAGAAGTTTCCAACCAAGCTCGTCGATTTTTTGGTGAGTGATTTTTGCAGTATGAGGTTTTGCATTATCATGCAAAAATAGCACTTCTGATGTTTCAACGCCCAATTTCTTTAAAGCCTCGTTAATCAGCTGTTTTGCCCTCATCAGCTGTTTTGCTCTCATCAGCTGTTTTGAATAAAGATCAGCGTTGACAGTTTCGAGTGGTAAGGGTTGGATTGAGTTCAATGGCATCCAGCAAATCCTCATCTGAAATCTCTTGGGGTCGTCCAGACCGTTCCTCGTCTTGGGAATTTTTATTTCCATCTTTTAACCGCTGAAACCATATTTGGCATTGTCTTTCGCTAATGTTGTCTTCCCCAAAAACTTCAATGATTGTCCGATGCGATTCAGCCGCGGATTTTCCTTGTTTAAAAAATTATACCACAAAGCGGCTCGAGGTCGAAGCTTTTCCTCTTGCATATTCTACCTGAAAATATTGTTAAATTTGTAAAAATTTGTAAAAGTCAAATATAATATGAAAGTATAGATTGTCTAGCTGAAATTAATTTTTAAAAAATCGCATAAGAAATAGCTGGAAAATCGCCAACAACGGGAATTCAAAACCGACATTACTTTTTCCTCAACCTAATAATAAAGCATGGGTAAGGTAACTTTTTCAGTAAATTACCTGGCAGTTGAAGTTAGTAGTTGTTTTTCTTTGAGTAGGCTTTGATAAGAGGTAGCTGTTATTATTTTTTTTTCTTTTCAAATACCATAAGCTTATACAGTGGTGAAAAAAAAAGTATTGATCGCCCCAGACTGTTTTTACGTACAATGGGAGGGGGCAAAATACTTTTTTTCCACCACTGTATATAGCCTTTTTAAAATGTTGTTAAAATAAACCATTTAGCTTTTCGATATCCTTTGAACTAAATTTTTGAATTAAAGGTTTATGATTGAAAAAGTCTTATTTGAGCATGATTTTTAAAAATCTGTATGTCAAGAATGAATGGATTTCATTAAAAACGGCTTCAATTATAATGGCATCGATCCGATGCCATTATAATTGAAGTCTTTTACTTATTTGTTCATTTAGTTCTGGTGCAAATGAAAAGCTACTCGTAGTTTTGAAGCCTTAAACAAAATATGAGAAAAAGGATCTTACCCATTGAAATGGATTTCATTAAAAACGATTTCAATTCTAATAACATTAGATCATCTTTTACTTATTTGTTCATTTAGTTCTGGTGAAGATGAAAGGCTACTCGTAGCTTTGAAGCCTTAAACAAAATCTGAGAAAAACGATCTTACCCCGTTATGCAAAAATAGCTTAAAAGTTTCTATTTAAAGCGACATCAGAAATCTAAGACTATCATCTTAAAGCTCTCACAAAATACTACAAAAAAAAAACGAATTTGAATCAATTTATTTGAGTGCGATCTAATGAGAAAACATTGACCGGCCAAGACTTTTGGCATTAGCCGACTTTTGATTACTACTTTTGATGACTACTTACGTAAAACGTAATATATTAAGGTCTAAAAGCTAATATGTTAAAACGTAATATGTTCTTTATGTAAGCATGAAAAAGTGACAACGGAATATGTTTAATTAAAAAAAAATGGCACATAATAAACTTATTGAAAACAAGAAGAGAAAAGTTGTAGAGAATAAAGAATAAATTAATTCTATAAAGAATAAATTAATTCTATTTCACTTCAAATTCAAAGCTTGTTGAGTTTTTTTTGGATTTCAGGTGATCCAACGAATCAAGAACGCGAATCAAAACGATGATTATGCGATGCAATCTATCGACTGGACTGCGGTAAGGTTTTGACTCTGAATCAGCTTTCATTATTCCGTTTAGTTACACTTGCAATCATTCTAAAACGCTTTCAGATTGCATCCAACTTCAATATGTTGAAGCAGGGAATGAAGCCGACGATCCCCGTCTCGATCGTTGTCATTACCGATCACCGGTGAGTTTTCAAAGCTTTTTTTATAATAACATCCTTAACACATTTGCAACGACATTTTGAGCCTAGTCGCTAATTGTTTTACTGATAATTTTGTGTAAATTCAATGATAAACTAAACTATTATAGTCATCGAGAGATTTGAGCTTAAAGTTTGCTAATGAGAAAAAGGGCAGAGCATTGTTTGACAACTTTTTGGGCGTACAGTCGCGTAGTCGCTACTGATAATTTGGTCATTTGATAGCTCTGAATCTCCTCTTGAAAACTAGTACAAAGTTACCGAACTTTCTGCGAAATAAATGATAAAAGTCCTTAAACTGAATCTTCATTAGTACGGCCCATTCGTGGATATAGTCGTATTGTTAAAATCATACAATACCTCAGAAAAATCAATGCAAATTTCAGCCCCGACGCAGGCCAATCGACTTTCTTCTCTTTGCGAAACAAGGGGTATTTCATCACAGCGCTCATTGGCCGAGGCACATCTGGGTACAAAGATTTGGCGAGGTTTGCCTTAAACTTAGAGCTTTTTACAGATACACTAAAGTTTTAAAAGGACAAGCTTTCTAAAAGCTTCAAATTTCTCAAAAAAAAAGTCAATTTCCAGCATCCCACCGACACTTTTTGAGACCTACGATGATCTCCGCTCGGATATCATCCCAACAGCCATGTGCACAGGTTTTTATAAAAAAGCAATCGATGCAAAATGTGTCTTCACAAATTGCGGAACTAATAGCAAGCGATTTAGGCCAAAATCTGGATTCTATTTAAGCTTTAGATTCCCCATAAAGTTCAGTTTTGATTTAGTTTATTTTTGGTTAAAATGAACGAAAAGCGATTTGGGATAACTCTTCTTCAATTTTCAAGATTTTGAGATTCAAGATTCGCTTTCTGAGAATCATTTATGAAAAATAAATAAAATGATTTAAACAATTTAAAAACAACTCTTTCTTTTAGTGAACGGCGATTTGTCAACGGCAGAACCGGTGGCGAGTTTGAGTGAAAATTCGCGATCTGATTTGATCGATTTGACCGATTACAGAGATTTCGTTGCAGCGGCTAGTGAGTTTAAATTGGAAAAAAAAAGAATTGTAAGATCTTGAGTTCCAAAAAAAGAAATCATTTCAAAAACTATAAGATCTTGATTTCCAAAAAAAGAAATCATAAAACTAATTGGATGAAAAGTCAATAAAATATTGGCAATTATCATTTTTGAAAAAAGCTTTCCAGAGCCTACTTTCGAATGTCTCACTCATGATATCGTTTTGGTGTTTGATGAGACGCAAAGTATCTACAATGATACAATTACTGATTGGAAAGAACTCTCGTATGTGTACAATTTGAATCATTCGATTTTTTTTTTCTTTTAGCTACAAGATTCTCCAGGATTTCAAATGGTTTGGAGATTTGAAAGTTAACGATGATCGGGGTGTCTTTACGAGAATCTCAGGTATGGTTGAGACAAAAAAAAGATGAAAAACTCACTTGTATACTTTAGATATTCAGATATTTTGGCTTATTGTAGTTTTAAATTTTAAAGAAAACTTTCGTTTATCAAAGTTTCAATACTTTACGGTATTTGGAACTTTGAATAATATCTTTACTTTAGCTCTTTATCTTTAGCTCTTTATCTTTAGCTCTTTATCTTTAGCTCTTTGTCTTTAGCTCTTTATCTTTAGCTCTTTATCTTTAGCTCTTTATCTTTAGCTCTTTATCTTTAGCTCTTTATCTTTAGCTCTTTATCTTTAGCTCGAATTTCACTACTAACAAGAAGTTTTTATAGTTAGTTTTATAGTTTATAGTATATAGCTTTATACTAATAATAACTTTTTTCTATAGTTGTCGTGTTTGGTGGTTTGGAACATCAAGACGCTCCTGGTGGACACGCGAATCGACAAGTCGACAAGAGTGACGATAACGATTACAGTAGTACGGTGAGTTGGGGAATTCTTTTCCAATAGCAAGATAAAGATAGAAAACTTTAAACTAGCTTGCCAGGCTAATAGGCCTTGTTCCAGATAAAGTCAAAAAAACAAATGCCTAAGCCAGGCCAGGCTGGAGTCCTGTTTAGGGCTGACACTTCTTGCCGTCACGATTGACGCACGGTTAAAACGCTTTTATCGGGCCGCGCCGATGTGAGCTGGTGGCCTGGTGGATAAGGTGCTTGTATACAAAGCGATCTATCCTTTCCTTGCTCCGATTCGAGTCCCCCGTCGCTGATTTTATTGCTTTTTTTGATTTTACCGAAACTAATACGAATCATTTTTGTTTCTTTGTTTCGAAAAGGCGTTTAAGCGAGATGCTGAAAACTTCTAGCAAATATCTCGAGTCTGGTTAGCTAATTTTTTCGACATTTTGACCCGCTTAGTCGGTCCTATAACTTCTCCTTGAGCGTCTGGAGATCCGTGGCGAACTGGGGTACTTCTCTTATAAGATTAAGCCCTGAAAGTACTTAAATCATTTCCTTTCCCAGGTACTCTTCGATTTGGACAAGTATCCTGATTGGCAATCTGCAAAGAGTCAAATCGCAGCCAAGGTCTTTGTCTACAATGGGCTCACCAATATCACTTCGTATGTGTTGAGTTTATTTAAAAAAAAACATTTTTCTTAGTGCTTTGAACGCTGTGCAACACGTGTTCGACATCGCAAAGAATTACGGGGATGATCCGAATTATAACAGAACGTCGAAAAGAGTTGTGATCACAATGACTGACGGATTGTGAGTTAGAAGAGAGATTTGAGAAAAGTGTTACTGTAAAGATACTTTAAAGCTGTGTACATATTAGCTTTACATCTGGCTTTCAGTCTGGATCTAGCAATTAGCTGGATCTAGCTCTTGGCTTTGATCTGGAATCTGGCTCTGTGATCCGGGTTGTATCTGGCTTCTAGATTACAACTAAAACTACCGTAATCCCAAATTGAGCTAATCTCTTTGAAAAGCCAGAACATTGAACTATAGAATTGGGCTTTCTAACGAAATAAACTGTAGTTTAATTTGGGTTTTAAACGAAATTATGAAAAGGAACGTAAAGATAGGAGAGCATAGGTAAAAAAAATTATACTTTTTAGAAAACGGATTACTTAAAACGATATATTAGCCTTTTAACTGGGGGCATCCCGCGCGAAATAAGGCGAAAAATCGTTTTCTATCCGTTTTCTATGTTTGAATAGCCATTCAACGCAGAAAAATGTGCTGATTTCAATAGTGAAAAAATGATCAAAATCCGTCTGACACATTTTTTAAAAATCGCGTTTTATCAAAAAAATGGCACTTTTACAAGCAACTCGCTTGCAGCGACCAACTTTCGGCGGCTCGTTTTCAGCGTGGTCGAAAGATGGGGGGGGGGTATTAATCGCGGCCGGGTGACTATAAAAATTATTTATTTTTTTACGGCAACCATCTATTTTTTTATTTTAATATCGTTGATTCTATTATAAAAAGAATAAAAACCACCCGGCTAGAGTGATTTGATGGGTTTACAAATTTTTGGGAGACGCTGCAAGGCTCGCGTAGTTCATCTAATTTTCATTCAGTTAGTTCACCAATTTTCATTCAGTTAGCCCAAATTTTTGTATCATTCGATGAGGAATTAAAAGGCTCAGTGAGGCTCAGTTAAAAGGCTCAATGATACCAAAATCTGGCTGATCGAATGTAAACTAACGGTTCTACTACGGTAATTTTCTCAAATAGGTGCATTTTAGAAAACGCATTACTCGAGAGGAACTAATAGATAGCTTAGGGTGTTTTGATGGCCTTTTGCATTATGTAAACATAAAATCTCCATCTGGAAAAAAAAGCATTTAGAGATGTTAAAAACCAAAAGTGTAACTCGAAAGTCTAAAGAAAGCAAAAAGAAAACATAATGCCTGACTTTTGCTTTACTTTCGCACTTACCTTGTAGATTACTTGTAGATAATTGACCTATTTGAGAAAATTACCGTAGTCGAACCGTTAGTTTACATTCGATCAGCCAGATTTTGGTATCATTGAGCCTTTTAACTGAGCCTCACTGAGCCTCACTGAGCCTTTTAATTCCTCATCGAATGATACAAAAATGTGGGCTAACTGAATGAAAATTAGATGAACTACGCGAGCCTTGCAGCGTCTCCCAAAAATTTGTAAACCCATCAAATCACTCTAGCCGGGTGATTTTTATTCTTTTTATAATAAAATCAACGATATTAAAATTTAAAAAAACAATCATAAATTCAATTTTTTTTTAGTTTAACCGCTGACGAAGAGGATGCGACAAAAGCTCAAGCTAAAATCCTCCGCGAAAACTACAAAGCTGATTTGTGGTAAAATATTCTCTAAAATAAACAAGTACTAGCTATAAAGTATGATATTGTACTTTGTACAATGTTTAGAAAATGTACAATACTTCAGGTTTGTTCTCGCCGAGTTTAACGTCGATAATGTCGATTTCCCGCATGCTTACAACTTCGCAGTCGCCATGGCTGATAGTGAGTTGGAGATAAGATTAGATTACGTTCAAATTGAACATCTATTGAACAATGTTCTCCTTTAGATAAGCCCCAGAGAGTGTTCAACTCGTCGAAAGCGGCGATGAACTCAAACACATTCGAGGCTACGTACGGAAACGAATATCCCTGTCCACCGAAAAGTTTGTTTTATTTGAAAAAGGTGAAAAGAACTTGGATGTAGAATTTTTTTTATTTGCTAAGATCATGATAATATGCTAGACTAGACTAAGCACGATCAGACTAGTCTTCGCTTGACTTTTCTGTCCCTTGTACTGTAGTAAAGCAAAGTCAGAACTCAGCTTTAGAGTAGTTTACGTTGGATCTGCTTAGACGTCTTGCCAAAGCCTTTCGATAAACAGTTCTATTTGTTTAGTTCTTGTAAAAAGTCCTTTTAAACGGTTCTTGTAGCATTTCTGAAGCAAAATAGATAAGGGCAGATCAAAACGCGGCCGGCGGGAATCGAACCCGGCACGTTTCGCTTAACGCAACGCAATTGTGCTAACCACTAGGCCACCACACACTTGGGATACGTTACTTCAGATTACCTTTTTTTTTTGATATGCCTTGGGATACCTTACTTTAGATTGCCTTTTTTGAATCCTTCTAGACATTAAGGCCTCCTTATCAGACCATCTTTCTCGCCTTCCAATAGGCTTTTTACTTCTAAACTTTGCTTTCAGGATGTAAAGTTATCTATTTCGCTTGTGAGAACACTGAGGTGCTCGATCCGATGATTAAGGGTACCTCTAACAAGCAGGTACTGTAAAAAAAAAATGAAAATCTTTTCATCTTATATTTCAGTGTGTGCAAGAGTCGCTTCAATTAGCCGAATACATCAACAGTCAAACCAGCAATGTCACTTTCCGTTTCCTGTTGTACTCGAAACCCGAGTTGACCACGTGAGTTGATTTAACGTTTCCTAAAAAGTGCACAAGTCAGTAACTAGATCAGTCTTTTGATTACGAACACCTGGCAATCGCTTAACAGTGGAATTGCTCTGTAAATAGCTCCCAGTTGGGATTTAGAGCTCAAAAATTGTACCCTTTGGTCTTCGGGGTCAGCGAATCGATTGGCGGGGTTCATTTTGTGATATCTTTCAGCATATACCCGGCTCAAGGCGAGGACGACTCGTACGCGAATTTCGTCGCCCAAGTCACCCCACTACTCGACGATACGATTCGAGAGAAGAAACACGGAGGATTTACCTATTTGGCTGAGTTTGTTGATTTGGATGAATTGGTAGTACGATTTTCAAAGTTTTAAAAGGTTTTTCATAAATTTTCTACCTTTCCAGTGCTCTCAACGTGATCGCGAACTCTTTCCAACAATATGTCCGAAAAAATCCACTTGCTGACGGAGCGCTTTTCATTGCCGGACAATTTGAGTAAGAGATTTATTATGTTTTAAAATATTTGGCTAAATAACTACAGTAGATTAAATTATAGATTCAATTCAAATTAAAGTACAGTATTTACAAAGCAAACTTTGCAGAGACGGGAAAATCCAGGATCTCGACATGGTGAAAGCGGCTGCTGGAAATGTAAGTGTTCTAAGGCTTTCTAAAACTGTTATCTATGTTTATTATATATAATAGTTATCTAAAGATCTAGAATTCTAAATATCTAAATATCTAAATATCTAAATATCTAAAGGTCTAAAGATCTAGAATATCTAGAATTTATCCAAAACCAGGTCCGAAGCAAGTTCTCGCACTTCTACGTGATGGATCGATCCGATCCGAAGCGAGCGCTGCCCTATGGAGATCCCAATCAGGGATGGGGAATGGTGGCGCCGAAAGAACAGGTGAACAATTGAATTGAATCGATGAACAAATTACACAACTTTACTGCCTATACAAGAAACAAGCAACAAAGTATCGTATTAGTTTCGTTAAAATCAAAAAAGCAAGCGAGGCGAGGACTCGAACCCGAGCAAAAGACGCACGCCTCTCTTTGCATACAAGCAACTTACCCGCTAAGCTACCAGCTCATCTGAAAGTCGAAGCCTTTTAACCCTGTGTTGTTGGCCTAGATCACGGTGCTGGTTTGTCTATGCTGGCAGAAATTCTCCAGCAGAAATTAGCCAGCAAGACTGGATTCAAAGTCATCTACCTGACTAGGTTTTGCATTTTGTTAGCCATGACAACCTGGATCTGGTCATGATCTAGTGATCTGACCTGGTTTTGTTTTTAGTACTGTGCTTCTGCAAAAGCTTGGGTTAAGGACAAGTCAGCCAGTCCAGATCAGCCAGTCCAGATCAGCCAGACCAGATCAGCCAGATCAGATCAGCCAGACCAGATCAGCCAGACCAGATCAGCCAGACCAGATCAGCCAGACCAGATCAGCCAGACCAGATCAGCCAGACCAGATTAGACCTGAACCAAGCCAGAACCTGAAACAATATTGACAAAATTCAACAATTTCAGCATATCTTTTCTTCAATGCTTTCTTTTAGACGGTTCTCTTCGCCGGAAAATACGAGACAGACAAGGATGCGCTAGAAAAAATCGGCTTCTTTTCTGTGGTACGTCTTTAAAACCAGAAAAGTGTATATCTTGCTATGCAGATCTTGTCTTAATATCTCGCTTATTTATCTGAATACCCAATATTCCAGATCAGCAAACTCGACTGTGCTCTGCCTGAGCCGTACCGTTGCAAAGACATGTTCGACGTTCAATTCGTCTTCCATTTCTCTGATCAAGTTGACAACGATGTTTGGGATGATGTGAGGAGATTGTGGCTGAGATTACTGTAGATTACTGTAGCTAAGAATTCTAGCTAGGCTTACTGTAAACACAATTTCATCCAAACCTATATTTTCAGCAAAAAAGTCTCATCAACGAGATGCTTTCCCAATTCAAGGCGCCCTATCCGGTTCATTTGGGCGCTTATTTCCTTGCTGATGATGGGGTTTGTGATTAGAATGGCTAACAAATGAATAGCTAAACACTTTTCAGTTAGACGTCCAGATGGGCCTTCAAACGGTCGATGAGATCACCTCACTTATCAATGTAAACGCGACAACGACTGGAAGTCATGATATGAGCTTGTGGGAGTGGGTTTAGTGAACTTTGTGCTTACAAAACACACCCTTACTAGGGTAATCTTGTCAAAGCTAGAGCCAAGATCATTTTTAAAGCGTTTGTTTACAATTTAAAGAATCCTGTGCTCAATTTCTCATTCAGTGGCGTGGTGGTGGATCGTTTCTTGGCGAACACTGGGTGCAAGAAAACGACGTCAGCAAATGATCGGCCAAATGTTGACAATATTGTGGTGATCGTTTCGAATGATTGGACGTGAGTGTAGAACTTGAAATAGTTGTTAGATTTGGCTTTTGTTCAGCTGAACCTGAACAGTGTAAACTTTTGACACTGAGTTCCGTTTTTTTCCTGAAATTTCAGATACGACTGTTTACCGAAAGCAAGAAGCATTTTAGTTCCTTGCAGTTCATTTTAGTTGCTACTGTAGCTCGCATTAGTTGGCTTACTGAGCTAGATCCTTGCCATAATGGGTCTACTGAACTAAATTCTTGCCTTAATTGGTCTACTGAACTAAATTCTTGCATTAGTCGGCCTACTGAGCTAAATTCTTGCCTTAATTGGTCTACTGTAGCTCCATCGAATCCTTAAAAACCCCTTTTCAGTCGATGGGCTCAATCGGCGTGGACGGACGTGACAAATCACATGGACGGATGGAAGTGCAAAGATTGCGCAAACTATCCACATTTCGTTTTCCTCGATCTTAGTCCCGAAAAGAAACACCCGGATGACTATTATCCTATCGGATTGAACACGAATGAGAACCCCATCTACAGGATTTCGAATTTCGATCTTGAAGTCCGAGAATCGCACAATATGATCAACGACGCAGTGCACGGGATTTGTTTATCGTTTGACAGAAGTGAGTTGGGAATAAACCGAGAAAACACAAGAGATCCCTGCTTTATTAAGCTGTATGCCAGAACTTTAACTAACTTTAGTTTACAATTGAAGAATTAGAAAGTATTCTTTGTTGAACTTGCCAACATTGAGCTGTTAAACAACTCAATTTCAGTCAAATATCCTAATTTTTCATCAAAATCTTTCAAAAACACCTTTTCTAATAATTCTTGAACGAATTGAGTGCACTAGAAAGGTTGTGTTTATGTTTTTTTGTTAGTGAAAAGTTCAAAAAAGTCAATTCTAAATGAATTAATTTCTAATTAAACAAATTTTCAAAAAATTATACTTATTTAACTAATTTAAACCATAAAAAAGAGGAAGAAAGGTTTAAAAAGTTAAAAATTTTCTATTACAGATTGTTGCGTTGATTTTCCGTGTCAAATCTACACCGGACAAGTTGTTTGCGGTCAAAAATCTTTCATTCAACAAATCACAAATCATGAAATTTATTGATTATCAATTTCTACCTCTTTTATCAATTTTGTGAGCTTAAATTTTGAAGTTGTATAACGAAAAAACAAAATCACAATAATTACCCGGGACACCACTCAAAACACACCCAAAAGATAAATGGACACACTAATGGACAATGATTTGGACTTTAACTGGATTTAACCAGTTTCTTCTAGGTTTACCTGACTTGATCTTGCAGGAAATGAAGGTAATTCTTTCGCACTGCTCCTTACTTACAAATCCTAGAAGCCAGTTGTGTTAGTGGCCAGCAAGATGGTCTTAAAGATGATTTCTTAGACTTACTCAATTGCTAAAGTTATTTAAAAGTGATCTTTTTTGATTGACAAGCTTTAATCTTCACTACTGGACAATGAAATATGATATTTGAAAAACGATCGTCACTTTCGCGCGTCTGTAACTCCCTTGTCTTTACCGTATTTTTAAATATTAATATTACCATTGTGCAGCCCTTGAAAAGAGCTTTCAGAAAATGTATAACACTAATAGTTTAAACTCAAAGACAAGAGAGTTACAGACGCGCGAAAGTGACGATCGTTTTTCAAATATCATATTTCATTGTCCAGTACTGTTCATTGTCCAGTACTGTTCATTGTCCAGTACTGTTCATTGTCCAGTACTGTTCATTGCTAATCCATCTTGTCCAGGGTCTCCGGGTGGCCCAGGTGGTCCCGAGCGTGTGATTCCTGGCGATCCTGGATGACCGGGTGGACCTAGAATCGATAATTAATTAGTTTTCATTATCTATTATAATATTATAGTAGTTCTAGTCATAAGGAAGTAACAATCATAGTAAAAAGTGTCCAGATAAGTAGTTAGTTTTTCAAACTACACTACTGGACAATGAAATTTATCATATTTGAAAAAAGATCACTCACTTTCGCGCGTCTGTAACTCCCTTGTCTTTACCGTATTTCTAAATATTAATATTACCATTGTGTAGCGCTTGAAAAGAGCTTTCAGAGAATGTATAACACTAATAGTTTAAACTCAAAGACAAGGGAGTTACAGACGCGCGAAAGTGACGATCGTTTTTCGAATATCATATTTCATTGTCCAGTACTGTACCTCAAGAAAGAAGCACAGAGCGGTCAAATCAATTGCCGAAATTGCGGCTTTAAATCTAGCCAAGCTGGGAATATCACGAACATTAGGGGGTAAAATATTCCAGAATTTAATAACTCGATTAAGAAAGAAACTGTGGGGCTTTTATCACAAAACAAATCACAAATCATGAAATTTATTGATTATCAATTTCTAGCTCTTTTATCAATTTTGGGAGCTTAAATTTCTTTCAATTTTCTCTTAATTTCTCTCATTCTTAACTAAACGCTTAATAAATTCTCCAAAAATCAATAAACCTTTCAAATTTTGATAATTATTCTCATTTCTAAGCTTTCTAATAATCTTTTTGAATGAATTTTTTTTTCTTTTTAATCGCTTTACGGCTTTTCTAATCGCTAAAATAGGATTAGTGAGGGAATTTCTCGAATTTCACATCAAATTCCAAAAATATTCCCCATTGAACTAAGGGACTGATTGAAATTTGAAAGTTTTAATGAAAATTTAGCTTATTTTACTTCTAAAACTGTACTAAAAAGTGATAAAAGATAAAAGAAAGGCTTTCTATCATACAGTGCGGTGCAAAACCATACGCCACCCCCTAAATTTCAATTTTCTGCGGCTCCCGTGCCAGTGACAAAAAAAAACTGAAAACGTAGTTAGATTCAGGACCAAAAATAGCCCTTAAACCCCAAAAATCATCGACATAGCATGAATGTACATTGAAAATTGTTTTTGCATATAGAACAAAGAATGATTAAACAATTAAAGCCTTTCTTTCCGATGCATTCATTCCTTTCTATACTTGTTGTGCTGAAACACTTTTTGGGCTGTGGTGGCAAAACATTTAAAGTCCATAAAAAAATATTTTTAAATGTTTTTTATGCGGAGTGGAAACGAACCCGTGCGCAAAAGGGAAAAGCTAGAAGTGAGAGTGAGGATACTTACCAGTGCGGTGCGGTGCTACAGTGCGGTGCGGTGCTACAGTGCGGTGCGGTGCTACAGTGCGGTGCGGTGCTACAGTGCGGCGCAAAACCATACGCCACCCCCTAAATTTCAATTTTCTGCGGCTCCCGTGCCAGTGACAAAAAAAAACTGAAAACGTAGTTAGATTCAGGACCAAAAATAGCCCTTAAACCCCAAAAATCATCGACATAACATGAATAGGGAAAATGTAAGAGCCAAAAAACAAAAATTCACCCGGTGCAAAACCATACGCCACCCCCCAAATTTTCGTGTCGTTATTGTTCAATTTGTTTCATTTTTGTTCAATTTTTATGATAACAAGGTTTATTTATAACAATAACAGTTTAATATTTTGTTGTTTGTCCCTGACGACTGATCACGTCAAATATTCGACTCGGCATGCTGTCAACTAGCTTCTTGATGATGCTTCTTGGAATGGGATTCCACTCGCGGGTAATGGCATCTGTAGATTTCATCAAAACAACTTGTTATCAACTCATTATCTTTCTAGTGATTCTTTTAATTGCTTTTAATTGATTCTGTAGCAATATTTTGATTGAAATATACGATAGAAAAGAAAAAGAAAAGAAAATTAAGCGTAGAAATACCGTGATAAATAAGAAGCAAAAGATTTAGCTGTAAAAAGGAATCGAAGTCGAGTAAAAATGTGGACCGCTTGCTTTGACTCCAAGCCTCTTATCCTCTACGCCATCAAGGGACATTCGTTGCCCCGGGAAATTCTCTATAAAATCGTTTCGGTCTTGTTTTGAAACGTGTGCTTCAAAATTTTGGCCGACTTTGATCTGTAATACCGTATCACTGAAGGATTAAGTGCGCCAGAAGAGATGCGTTTCTGAATTCGAGCACAAAGTACACCTTTAAAGTTCAACTGTTTATGGGAAAAGAACTTGAGTGTGCCAGAAAGGATGCGTTTCTAAATTCGAGCCCCAAACAATACAAGGTCCTTGACTATAGAGAGCTTAACTAACTATATTCTTTTGTCAATGGATCCGGGAAGTGATCGGAGGATGAATGGGGAAATGGGAAAGAGAATGGGGGAAAGAGAATGGAGGAAAAAGAAGGGGATGACCCACTTTACATCCCATCAAAGAAAGAGATTGCCTTCACAGTCTCTAACTTGACATTTAATCATTTTTCTTCATTTTTCTTTTAATTCTCTTTCATTTTCAAATGTTTCTCAAAAAATTTAGCTGATTTTCAAGTAAAAGAATTAGAATTTGTTTAATAATATAGCCAAATTTAAGCCAAGAATTGATCTCAAAAATTTGGGCATAGTGACGGTGAAAATGGCTCAGTCGATCATCGCTCCTTTCACTCAACGGATTAGAAAAATTCCCGGAAAAGAGACCCTTATGGCATCACAATTTGCCAGATGGAGAGCGATTGTGCCCGCGCACAAAGAACATCGGTCACTTTTGATAGGGATTTTTCTTTTCTTTTGTAAATTACCCAGAAATGAGATTTAGTCTCAAAAATTTGTACCCACGGGCTTTCGGAGTCGGAGAATCGATTGGCGGGATTCTTTTTTTACTCATAATCTGTGCAAAGTTTTGTTTAACAGGTTTTGTTTAACAAAGTTTTCCCTAGAAGTAGAAATCATCAAAAAAGCTAGACTTTTGTGTTTTTGATAGAAATCGATTAAAAAAAAGAAACCAAGAAGAAACCAAAGCCTCAAACTTTTCACTTTTGCTTTTCACCTCTTCTACTTTCTCAATAGACATCAATTCGATTAGTCGGCGATCTCATTTCTGGAGTGTTGGAGGGAAATTGTAATTGTATATTGAAAAGAAAGTGTTTATTTCTTTTATTCAACTTTTATTCAACTTCTACAAACTTTTTTTAATATTTGATTTCTTTAATAACAAGTATACGATCATTTATCTTGATATTTCTAAACTAAATCGTTTTCTAAACTAAACAAACGTCGAAACCCTTTTGGTTACTGTAAACCCGCCGTAATCTTACCGTAATCCTACCGTAATTCATGAAATCTTACCGTAGTTCATTGATTGTCGTAAAGGATAAAGATACGATAGATTGATGATTAAACAATAGATTACGATAGATTAAACAAAAAGTTAAAGACAAGATTACGATAGAAAAAGGGTTTTAGAAATGAGATTATTTGAGAAGCATTGATACTATCAAACTCTTACTCTTAGCCAAAAAATCAATTCAATTCCAAACTCCTAAAAGGCAAATGTCCCAGAATGGGTCCGATAAATTCGTTTTCTATCGGTTTCTCTTGCCAATTTCCATTTGTGCCTTTCTTTTTGTCTTTTCTCTATTGAAAACCCGGTCACGCAATCCCACAAAACGATTCCGATTTCCCTCCTTCAATTCCATTGCTCAAAATTTTATTTCTTATATTTCAAACAGCATTACTAACCATAGTAATGCTTTGGAATTCACGTTTGGACTTTGTGCGTTCTCTCCTTGTCGTGCGTAAGAAAAAGCAGCGTTTGGCACACTGCCATAGATAAAGCCCAGCGGAAACGATCCTCACCCGGTTTAATTACCCAAGTTTGCGATTGAAGCTCAAATTATTAGGTTGTCCAGTTATGAATGCGCGCCTGCTCTTGAACAGCATACCTTAGGGCTATACAATTTTATCAAACCCTATTCTCTATATGTTGTTCAGATTTCTTATTTATTACAACTTTTCGTGTTTTTAACGTTAAACTAATTCATTTTTTATTTAATTTCCGTGTTTAAATGACCGAGACGAAGTTTCGTCATCGTGCCAGTCTTTGTTATGACTTCAAATTGGGCAAAAATGCCGTTGAATCCCATCGAGATCTCTGCAAAGTATTTGGCGAAGATGCTATTTCGGTCGCCGATGGTTTCAACGATTTCGAGAAGGAAATGAATCTTTGGAAGACGAAGACCACCAACGACGACCTCCTGCGATCGATAATGCACTACTGAAG